AGAGGGGTTAGCATGTTGTATCTGACATGTAACGTGTTTTTAGATAATTTAACAGTGAACATGTTTTTGCTTGCATTTTTTGGTTTCATGCCCTCTCAATATATACAGGACGCTTACACACTCCAGTTGAACTCCGAAAAGTGTTTGTCAAAAACTTAAACTGAAGTTTTCAATGTTTAATAACTTTTCTAATTCATACATGTTATTCCTATGGTCTAAGATGGTCCAAAAATATTAGTAAATATAAACGACTCTCCCCCAAATCCAAAAACAAGAGTGCAGAAACTCAAATTTGTGATGTCACAGGGTATAAAGTCCAGAGCTGCTCCACTGACAATGAATTGGGAAAGATGTTCTAGATGATACTGAGAACTCCCAGAGTATATGGGTTATTTTTCTGTCTCAGAACTGAAAGCACTACAATAGAATAAAGAAAACAAACATTCCACAGGGCCACAAAATCAAGCTCCCATTCATTGTTTATGGAGCAGCTCCAGATTTTATGCTTGACGACATCACAAGTTTGAGACGTTTTTCTGTGGTTTCTGGCTTTGAGAGAGAGTCCCTCACGTTCACAAATACTGAACCTTCCTAGACCATCGAAATGACATATTGAAATTATTGTGGTTATTGTTATTGTTTAAAGTGGTGTTCCACTTTAAAATTAAAATGAATGTGTATTACATTCAAAATGAATAGCAAACACTCCTAACCCAGAACTGTTCAGGAAATCAATTCAGACAAACTGTCCCAAAGCTGGGAGTCAATCACATTTCAACTACAATAATAATATTTCGCCTCCTTTTCTAAGGTAACACCTTACACTGCAGATTTCTCAATAGCTTCTTAAACTAAAACAATTTTCTAAATGCATTTTACTTTATATTTAGTAAGATAAATGGTGTGCATACAGGACAATTAATCATGGAAAGAGAGTCAATATTGGACCTGCAATAATGATCTGAAACCTGTCACTGCAGCTGGCTGGTGTGTTACATCAGTGTTATCTGCAAGTCTTATATGGGTAACATTTGTAAACTCTGACAGCTTATCAGAAAAGTTGTAATGAATTTAATGAACTGTGGTGAGTTTTGTAAGCTCTGCAGGTGGTGTGTAAGATCCCGGAAAACTACACAACAATAAACACTATAAATACAGTACTGGGTAAGCATCAAGTAAACAAACAACGCTGATAGACTATAATCACTTCCTCAGTGATCTACAGTAACCTGACATCCTATCATGATGTGGCTCCTGTCAGCGTACCTGCATGCGTGCACAGGCAGGTCTTTGGTGTAATACGTGTCTTCTTCATCCTCCTCAAAGTTGAGCTCGGCCAACAGCTGGCTGGCTTTGGCCACGGAGTCATCCACTCCACCGTTGTGAAGACCCTCATCAGGACCATTAACCTGTAGCACAACACAAGCTTTACCAAACAAACTGAATGATAACGATTAGCAGCTAGCGGCTAGGAGACGCTGCGCGGAAAAGGCAGGTAATTTGAAGTTGACGACTGAATGTCAGTGCTCTTAACTCTTATTTTTGGTCATTAAAGTTACCGCTGTATATCTGGTTTGCTGCAAACAGTTCAAAACAAACATGTCAAGACACATAATGTTACTTTAGGAGTTTAGTTAATGTGCTAGCTAGCAGCGAGCTAACGGCAACGGCTAGCTAACATGAAGCTAGTTAACGCTGGATCCAATAATAGCGGGCTAGCGTGCAGCGCTGTGTGAGCTAACCTAGCTAACTGCCGCTAACGTCAGTAAACCGCGCTCTATTGTGGCTTCTGGTTAAAATGAAAGCCCCAGACCTGACTGTCCAGCTGGCTCTGAGTCTGGCCTTGAGTTTGCGTCTGGCTGGGAAGGGTGAAGTCGGTGAAGTCGTACTCGGAGCCCTGGGTGTCCGCTCCGAGCAACTCCGCTTCCTCGGTGTCTAGGAAGGTGAGGGTCTGGGAGCTCGGCCCGTACGCCTCCACACTCATCTCGACTCAACTTTCGCTTCGCTGAGCGGTTTCCGGTGTTCGTCTGAAGATGAACAAAATCCTCACGATGTTTGTCTATCGAAAACAGGTTCAGAGGCCGAGGCTCGGGGTCTGGATTCGAACCCAAACAAAAATGGTACCGATCAGAACCTCGAAACCTCCAGCAGGTCCAACAGCGACGGTGACGAACTCCCCTGCGCCGCTCAACGTGTGACGTTCACACTGTCGGCTGTGGAGACCGATCATCAACCGAGACAGAGCTCTCACTCTGATCTTATTTCCGGGTATCAAAACGGAATAGTGGACCTCTGCAGGACAACTCGGGAACTACAAGTATAACCTATCGAGGCCTGAACTTTTGTTTGGTATGGATTTTCTATTTCTCCTAGATATTTGAGATCAGTAGGACCCGATAAGTATAAAAAACTAAACACTGTCAATAATCATAAAGTCTCAGTGTCCTCAAATGAGACAATAAAAGGGTCCCAATGTCCTCAAGTGTGACCATAATAAAGTCTCAATGTCCTCAGATGAGACAATAAAACAGTCCCAATGTTCACAAACGAGATGACAATAAAGTCCCAATGTCCTCAAACGAGACTACATCCCAATGTCCTCAAACGTTACAATAATAAAGTCCCAATGTCCTCAAACGAGACTACATCCCAATGTCCTCAAACGTTACAATAATAAAGTCCAAATGTCCTCAAATGAGACTACAATAAAGTCTCAGTGTCCTCAGATGAGACAATAATAAAGTCTCAATGTCCTCAAATGAGACTACGTCACAATGTCCTCAAACATGATGATAATAAAGTCACAGTGTCCTCAAATTAGACAACAATAAAGTCCCAATGTCCTAAAATGAGACGATAACAATGTCCCTATGTCCTTTAACGTGATGATAATAAAGTCCCAATGTCTTCAAACGAGTACTTCCAAATTAACAACGTCTTAGCTTGTTACTTTGCTAAAATGGGTCAAATTTGTTGCCATATCAAACTACAAACGTTATTAATCATAAATAAACAGGTTTCAAATATAACGTGATCAGATTCTGGACCTTGTCCACTTTTGTGTCAGGATCGGCTGCAGACTGACTTGGCATAGACGGCTTGTTTTCCATCTATAAGTGTATCATGCTCTTGTGCACTAGATGACACATAAGAGCATCCATGAACAAGGACAACTGGTCTAAGTTAAGCAGAATGAAGCATAAGGTGCAGTAAAACCCAAAATGTGAGTCCTCATATGAAGACGCAGGGTCTCAGGAGAATAATATCAAAATGAAGAACATTTTACTCTAGCCTACTAAGTACAATTTTGATGTACTTTACATGAGTATTTTTATGTTATGTTCCTTTATAATTCTACTCCACTACATTTTGGAGGCAAACATTGTAGCCTATTTTTTCACCACTACATTTAAGTTTACAGTGTTTGATTTTTCCACAGTGGTCTACTGTAGAAACAACACTGTGGACTCAGTGGAAGAGGACATGCTACATATGAACTGTATATATAAACTGCTTACTCTAAGGAAACAAACACACAGCAATTCCTAATTTCAGGTGATTCATCTTCATCTGTTTTTCACTACTTCACGGTAAGGAGGAAAGAATTTTGCCATCAGCTAATGAAAACATAGTTGAACATTATACACACATACACACTGGACCTTTACTGCATCATTACAACACAGTTATATATTATTCTGAAATGGGCCCCTCATTGAATGCAGGACTTTTACTTGTATTTCTACACAGCGGTATTGCTACTTTTACTTGAGTAGAAGATCTGAGTATTACTTCCAGCACTGGGAGATACCCACACTGAAGTTAATCGAACCATGATGTCAATATGTATTCATCACAAGGCTGATAATCAACCAAGAAAAAATGTTGCCTTTACCCCTGGACCCTGCGGCAGGTTGATCCAGCCATTATTTATTACTCTAGTAATCTCACAAAATGCATACATTTAACTTTAAAATAGCGTTCATGCTAAAATCTCCCAATTCTGAGTGTTAATTGCTAACACTGTAACAAATCTCAGTTGGCAAAATAAGTGTTGAAAAGAGTGTAAACCACCCAGGGAGCAGTGTTCCATCAAAACATTCCCAGAGATTCACGGGTGATTCTCCTCGGAGCAATCCCTTAAGGGTTTGAGGGAAAGTCTACCTATTACAGATCCTCTTGGGGGCTGCGATTAAACGTATCACAATTAGATATTTGAATCCTGAATCTCCAATGTACAACATCTGGATTACAAAATATGAGAACTGTAGGAGATGGAATCACATATGCATCAAGGCTGCAAAGACCAAGATGTATACAGAGGTGGAGTCCTGTAATGAGTTTGTCTATTCCCTTCCCACTTCTGTTTTTCTAAGTTTACTCTATTTATTTACATTTTTTTCTCCTTTTTTTTCTCTTTTTACTCATGAGTGTACATGTAGTCAAACAGATATGTTTGTAATCATATTATTATTGGCATCTCATTTCCTTTCTTTCTCCTTGCAAGTTTGAATCTCAGGTACATTTTACCACACTTGAACACTTCACCGTACTTGTCTTTAACCTGGATAGATATTACGGCAGCTGAAAACTTTGTACAATGATCAAAGTACTATGTGAGCTATGTAAAAACTGCTTTGCTTGTATAGAATGCTGAAGTGTAAAGAAGCCTGTTGTTAAAAAGTTTTAAAATTTGAAACTGGGAGCTGACATCTTTCACCTATATGATACTGGATTATTTATTTGCATACTAAGTGCTAAACCACATATTGTTAATCAACAGGCAATGCCTTTTTTTTAATCTTTGGTGATGCAAAATTGCTCAAGTCAAACCAAGAGTGCAGGTCAACTATTTGCAACACAGTGGTACTTCATTTTCACATCTATGATCTTTGACAGGCCTTTTCTTCCAACCAGCTTTATATGAACACAATAATAAGTCAATGACATGCTTTTAATAGGCATAACTAATACGTACTGGAAAAACAGACACAAAGATGTTACTTGTTACTTCTCTTTATTTCAAAGCCTTTCTTTTTTTACAAAGCCAAGATTACGTATTGTAACAGTGCTTTGTTAATGTCAGAAGCAGAAGAAGACACCTTTCAGAGGATTCTCCCTAAACTCACAATAAATCACAGAGCCGTAATGTTATTGTACAACAGAGCACACACCGAGATACAAAAGTATTTTTGAGGTAGCCACACATCTGACTGGACAGCATCAGTAATATATCTTTGAATTGACCCGCTGGGTATTTTAAGGCCTTTTCATAACACACATAAACAACAGCAAGGCACAGGAAAGAGTCGGGGTCAGAGGTCACCTCGTATGTAAACTTGAGGCTCTTCACTTTTGTGAGCGAACATTTAGGGGCGTCTACTCCACATCCCTTTAACTTCTCAGCACTCACAAAGCCACACGGTGAAATATCAGCACCTACAAACTCAGAACTAAAACCTGTCTGTCAGAAGAGATTTTTAAACCAAACAACCAATATGTAAAAGATAAAAATTTAGGTCCGAGAATAGGTTCAGTTCTGTTTAGCTCAGTGCTCTAGGATGCTACTCTGTGGTACAAACCATGGTGCTGAGTGGTAATTAAAAAGACACACACTGCTAAAAATAATGCCAATCAGCTTAAACACACTGGCACCAACTTGCTCAACTGCTCAAAAAATTTAATTAAAAACTAAATGACAGCCCATGAGAACATTTCTGCTGCAACGCAAAGCATAGTGTTAGTTTCCTAAGACTAGCTACGGCAGTTCAACTATAGCTTTGTTTCCCACAGGCTGTTTTATCTGGGGATACACATGGTGCTGAAGCAGAATGCAGACCATTCAATGCTATACATCTCTACTAAAATACATCAAACTGAAGCGGGGTTTAGTGACCATTCAAAAAGACACAAAAACAAACAGAACATTTAAACATTTTCACTCGGGAGATGCACCATCACAGTTTGTTTAAGGGTCAGAGCAAACCAATGCTCAGGGAAATAAAGCAAAAATCACCTATAAAGCATACCTCACATGCATAATCATAATCACTGTTGTCGCTGTCTGTATTCCAGATTAAGTAAAAATGTAAAACAAACAAAAAAACAAAGTGCTACAGAAATAAAATTCCAGGCCCAACTCTGACTCAACCGAGAGTCCGACTCCATCAAATCAAATCGTCAGGTAAAATAAGCAGCTATATCTGATTCAATGAAGGGAACAACAGAAAGCTTTCATCGAGAAATAACAATTAGGGCTGCTCAGAGAGGAAAATGTCGGATTTTGGTCTTGAAATGCTGCTGTGAGAAACAAACTGCATGTTTATGCACAGTTTAAGATGAATAATAACTTATTATATAAAAAGAAAAAAGAATGTTATGAACCATAATGTCACAAGTTAAAGAGGAAACTTTGTTTAAGTCAATCTGAAAACAGTTGTAGTGATAATTACAATATTTTGTCAAGTAACTTTGCAGCCATAATACAATTATGATAAACCTAAAAGACTGAACTTGAGATCTGTAAAATAACATTGCACATCCTGGGGGCCAGATCTCAGTGGGGTGGATTTGGGGTGGGGGTTTCTGTCAGAATTGGGCCAATAAACTGGGGGAAGATGAGCTGGAACCAACCCGTTCCCTGATTTAAATAACCTTTGTAAAAGAAGGCAAAATTACAACTTCTTATAAAGAAAAAAGGACTCGAGAAACAATTCAACATCAAGTGTGAAACAGCACAGCTAGGCTTTAGAGCAGCTGGGAAAAGCTATCCGTAAGAGACTGAAATTAGCAACACAGTTTACTGCTACACATTTCTATTTAAACCATGTATCATGTACATTTAGAGAGACAACAACTGACACATAATGAGTGAAATTAAAATGTGAGGATGAAGCATTTTGAAAGTCAAATACTGTAGAGTACAATCAACTGTTCCCCCAAATGTGACCTCTATAACCATTTCAATACCCCTAACCCTATAAGGTGCATTCATAGAGGTCACATTCGAGGTTACAGAACTTCTGCACATCTGCTGTGACTTTTTTCACATATTTTTAACCCCAAAGTCAGAATGTTTCATGTTTATGTTCGCAGTGGGACAAAAACTTGCATTACAACATGACTGAGGGTTGACTTGAGACTCCCATTTTATATTCTCACTACTGGGAGACATTAAAATGACTAAATGAGGCCTAAATAAACTTGAAGCAAAAACATAAGAGAAACAAACGCTACACTGAAGTTTTCATTTTGTCCAAGTAAAGACAACAATTAAAAAAAAAGATAAGAAGAAGTTTGGCTACTTGTGGTTAAGTGCAATTTCTTTTGTGTGGTGAGGGGTGGGGAGGCTGGTTGGCATCTGGAGGTCACTTAGTGGAAGTGGTGCTGCTGGCAGTGGATCTTCTCTTCGGCCTGGTCCAGAAGCTCCAGCATCTCCTGGATGATGGCCTGCAGCGCACGTCCCAGGTCCTCCCCGCTGTAAGGCTTTCCGAGGGGAGGCACATGAACGAAGGCAGAGCGACCGTGGCTCAGGTACAGAGACGTGTAGTAGGTGAAATCACACAGATACCTGTCAGGGAGGAGAGCACGGCAATGAAAAGACACATTAAGACTATAATAATACTGGATTTAAGTGCTCTACTGGTTCATTTATTAACACACTTCACTTACACATACCGTGTTCTCCAAGTTTTCCACTGCGCACATACATAACATTTATTTCTGAGGTTCCCTACACCTGCCCGAAATATGATTACAACCAATAACATCTTTATGGCATTATTATAAGTAACTGTAAGTCTCTGCATGCATACCTACACCGTAGATTAGCCGCACAAACAGGTATTCAATACGCCCTCATCAACCAGATCACAACATCAGCTGGTATACTTAAGGGGTGTGTTAAGTATTTTTCAACCTGGACCCAATTTTCACGTGTTTTTGTGTCTAAGTGACAAATGGAAACACTACATTTTTAAAATTCAGGTTCAGTATTGAGCATGATGGCAAAGCAGGCTGCAAAGTAACCACTCAGAGCATGTGTTTACCGTCAATGTACATTCACTGTAAGTGCTTGTTTTGTCACTGACAGGCTCAGATTATTATTTTACATGTCTGACAACATTATGGAGAGGATCCCTATGGATGAAGACCTTTTTGTTATAGACTCCATTTAAGTAAAATAATTTTAGTGTGTATGAATCCAACATATTTTCATATCTAACTGGGGGGTTTGAGGGTTTATTTTAGCCAAACCAGATTTGGTTGTTGGAACAGTGGAAAGATGAACCAAGACAGGTTTTGTGAGTTTTATTTTGTGACTGTCAACTCTGAATAAGTGTGTTTTGTGATGGTAAAATTACTGTTTATTTAAATGGAGTCTGGTGGTTTTGGCGATAGCTATTTCAGGGCTGTTTCTGGTTTAAAAAAAACCCATCTGCAGCACTTGCTCAATCCTCGACCAACTACAAAAATTGTTATTCCTAACTGTCACTTTGACAAAAAAAAAAAACATGGGAAAATGGGGACTTGGTTTAAAAATAGTAAATTTACCCTTTAATAACACAATTTTCAAACAAACAATCAGTTTAGATAAACCTACCACTGTTGATGTTGTCACTACAGCCTGACTAATGTCTAAGCATGGCTGATTCTATCTTACTACAAATATTATATCTGCATAATTGTCAGTCAGTGAGAAACAAAACATTTAGCACATGGCTAAAGCTAATGCAGTCTTCTCATACAACAGTCCTGTAATAAATTCTACCTTCATGAAGGTTGTAATGTTTAGTTTTTGTTTGTGTGTGTTTGGAACTCAGAAACTGTGTGTCCTTTTTGGATGCAGTTTGTGTAGCTGTTAAACTATATTCTGTTTTACTTACCGATTTTTCTAACATTTTTTCCAACTCATCTATATCAAGGAGGGTAAACTCAATAACAGGAATACATTTTTGTTGAGTACAACGAAGCTACAGAGACTGGTTAACACCTGCTCTAAGATTAGGGGGATGTCCCAGCTCAGTTTCTGCGCTCTGGCCTACTCACCCCACCCCATGTGTATCAGGGTTCCACCTGCTGCCCTCTGGGCGGAGGTATAATGTCCCTACGCTCTGGATTTACAGAGCTTAAGGCTCCTTCATCTTTAAAGCGAATGCTGCCATTAACCACAAACTACAGTCCACCTTTTTGTTGCACTTTGTATATTCTGCTGCTTGCACTTTTTTATTCATTGTGCTTTGCAAACTTGACGTTTGCTATCACTTGTAGTTGATAGTATTCATGTTGTGGCCTAAACATTTTACCCGTGTATTTTTTGTTGTTGTTTATTGAGCTGTCACAGAATTGCCCTCAAGGGACGATAAATATTTATTGAATTGAACCTATCTGTATTATGCAATACAGTTCAACAGCATCACAACTGCAGCTTCAAAAATGATCATCCCAGTCCCACTCTGTGTTATTTAATATGTTGGATGACTGACTTTATATAGTAATTTGCTACTTTTACTCCTCTGTTCTACTTGATTTGCACAGATTGAACAGATCTGAATTATTGTTAAGCAATAGTGCATCCTACTTTTACTACGCACTTTGTTGCACAGTTTCACTTGAGCTATCTGTCAAACTAGAACATCCCATATTGCAGACAGTTAACATTGTGTGTGGCTGATTTCTGCATTTAACAAAGTGATGTCAATTTGTGGAGCCAGAGCACGTGGCCAGGAGGTGAGTGGCAGAACAAATGGCTGATTCTGTAACAAATAAGAGTAAATAATTACCTTCCAGCATCTTTGGAGACAGAGACAGCTACTCCCAGCCCCGAGGCACTCACTCTCTTACAGACTGATTCCATGTCAATAACTGAGTTGATACAGTCCGGGCCTCCCACAATGCAACACTGTGAATCAGGACAGAAGCTGCTGTTGTCCAGGCCCTTATAGCCATGATTTCTGCCACACTTCTCCAACGTGACAGTGGTAGCCATACCTGAGACTCCAACATGAACGACCAACTGGCAAACAAAGGAAGAAATTCAGCACAAGTCAGGATTAAGAAAATATCCCTGTCCCAAACATAAATTAATCACAATATGTCTGTGGCAACTTTTTTTTTTACTTCTCTGCTTGTTTGAACCTGAGGTGTCTAAAACGAGCAGAAACACTCTTATATTTGACACAAAACACAGATCTGAACCCAAGAACTACGAAACCAGAGCTGATATGAAACCTAAGTATCAATTTTCACATTTCAAACGGCCTCATAGAGAGCTTGCGTCAGAGCTACGCTCAAGCCAGTAATTTGATAATTGCATGTAATTTAATTCAGCTCAGAGTGTGTTGCGCACATTCATTATTATCTGATTGTTCTCAGGGCCTCGCAGATCCAGTTATAACTTAAATATGCCTTTACACAAGACCTGAGACCTGTGGCAGTAAAATCAGACCTAAGCTGAAACTGAGGCAGACACGAGTTTCTGTATTGCACCTTTAAAATTGGAATAATGCGGAGAGGTCACACCACGTTCTCCTCTTACCAGTGGACGATACTTCTTCCATAATGAAGGAACCAAACTCTGGACTGTCTGGTACTCTACAGGAACTTCGGATACATGCAAGTCCACTTCACTGCCCAGTCCAAGCTTCTTCAATTCCTGTCGGGACAATGAAAAGCATAAAAACTGAAACACGTACTTGCACTTTAAAACTGCTGCTAATTTTTCCTTAAAATATGTCCTTAAATTTTGCCGGAGTCAGCTTATAAGGGTGCTATTGCCTCATGGACACTACACATACATACATTATCATATGGCCTACACTTCGAACTTGACCGGTTTGATTGATGCAAATCCTTGGATTTTGTATGTACTCTTGATATCACGAGCATTCGCGCATTTCTTAGTCCATATTTTACATATTCATCCTCTCTGTTTTTTGACATTGTACAGCTGTTTTCATTTTAAAAAAACAGACACAAAATATATTTTTTCTGTTGTTTTTTTTGTAAATTCCTATTTTAGATTAATGATTCTTGACTTTTGTAGTACTTGTTTTTCATTATGCACAAGTCAGATTTCTTGTTTAAAAAACAAACAAACAAACAAACAAAAACTATTTCTGAACCAATGGTGATGATGTACGACCCAATATTTCTGTGGAATTTTAGTTACCTGCTAAACTAAGCAGGTATATTTCAGCCCTGTTTTGCTCTTTCTTAGAAGACATATGTCTCTAACTTGCCCTGTCCTTTTCAAATAATTTTACCTTGCGCTTAAATTGAAAAATGTGGATTATGACAACCAAAAAAAATTGAATTGCGACACTCAACAGTCTTCATATATAGTATAAAACAAATCAAGAAATAAAAGATGCAATCATACATGTTTTAAGTAAGATAAATCTGTGTCAGTTCACAGCCAGTGGGCTGACACCTCCCCCTGTCTCCCTGCAGGACAAATAGCCCTGGACACTGACCCCCACTTGTATTGAAAAGAGGCTTGTTTGACCACGTCTGTGACCCCGCCACAAAGCGGCCTTTTGTTTGCCTTTAATATCCTTATCAAGTCCGTCTAGACACACTGACAACCAACCTCATCCCCCACATGCAGTTTCCCCAGCAGGACACAGAGAGCCTCCATGACACTGCTGCATGCCGTGAAGCCGGCCGGTAACTATCAGAGCATCATGTAACCACCACTAATCAGGCTACACGTTCGTTATTCATTTTGAAAAAGTCATACTTTATGCAGACTGTCAAATTTTGGCTACAAACATAATGAGATTTATCCAGTTGTATGCCATATCTACGATGTGATCAATGGTGATGTTTTTGAATCTTAACAGTCTCGTTTTAATCCAAGAACCTGCCGTACTGATTTCTGTTTGATTTATTTTAACACCATAGAAAAAAGAAATAAATATGTGCATCAAAACAGCGATAGAAGGGTAAAACACACCTGTACTGCTACCCAGCTGGCGTTGACTGTGTGCTCTCCAAATGGCCCAAAACCTGCAAAACACGTATATTTATTTAATGTTAACGAACCTGTTTGGATTCTTCTCAAAATGACTAAAATTTGCACCTTCACAAACAGAAATGAAGAGCAACTATGTTCTGTTTGTCCTTCCAAAATGAACAGTGAACATTTTTGGTGATAACAAACCAAAACAAATGCAAATACATTTAGTTTTGCAGAAATATGAATGTAGTGTAACCTCCAAAAAGGCTATGAGCTATCATACGTAAGCTTACTATACCAACTGTGTTGTTGTTGCTAGGGCTTGAATAGGGATCACTAAAAATATTTTATCATATGCCTGCTAGATGCTATCAAAAAATGTATTGTGATTACTTTGCTGAATACAATATAAACTGTTAACAGTATACAGACATAAACCTTCCAAGATACTAGATTTTCAGATAAAATTAACACTTCAAAATAACATTATAAATGTCTATAGTGCTGCAGCATGCTGCTTTCCATGAATTACCAAATTAAAATCAATCACTATCACTAAAAGTCCCTTCGCACACCACTCCATATGACCTGTGAAATCACAGCAGCAGCCTATGTATATTCACTCAGGCTTGTTTATGTAGAGATCTATGAGCTGATCCCCTTCCACCACCCTTGCAAGGGTCAGTGAGTCCCTGGGGGATGGGTGGAGGGGGGGGGGGATCAGTCTGTCTGACAGGCTGCTGAAAAGGAGCAGAGCGAGGGGCCGGCAGCTGCCAGCCGGCCGGCTATTGTGAAGATGCTGTTCCCAGGCAATCTACACGTCTTGTATCAGCTGGGACTGCGAGCTTCTGCACCCCTTTGTGTCTGAAAAGTCACTGCTTCTGTTTTCCTCCACAGACTCAGACTGTAGCCCGTGCTCTTATAAAATGTTAGATTTAAGTGGCACGAAGTGAACTTAAAATTAGTCTTGTTTTGGGAAAAATAACCATTAATAATATATCAATATTTACTGATATATTCATGCCACTGCAATCATTGCTTGGGATTTCTTCTGATTTAATAAATAGTAGGACTGTGTGTTTCCTAAAATGAAACATGCGGAGCAGCTTCAAAGATAGATTGGACACAGATGGAAATAAGAGTTGTAGACCAGACTTTGTAATGCAAAGCAATGTTATTAGATCTAAAAACAAATTGGATGAGCTTCCATACAGAAACTAATACAGTGAAATATCAATACTGGAATACTGTTGATTACTTGTAGTGATGTTACTTACTTCTAACTATCAGCTCTATAATGACACCATGTCTGGACAGAGGCCTGATGCAGAGAGCAGGTCCAACTGTTGTGAAACTCACAATACAAAGCCATGAGGAAGAAGCACTCAGGCACTTTTGCTTTGTCAGAAAAGCTGAAGATGATTCACTCTTGCTACAAAATCCCTCCCTAAGATACTCCATATGAGTCCTACAAAAATTAAGGTAATACATGGTTAATATCAACAATAACTTGAGCTGGAATTTCTCAATTGTGGGATCAGTAAATGTGTATCTTATCTTATCTCATAGATTCCTCATTCATGGTTGTCTGTCTGTAGTTTATTGTTCCTGGAACATACTGAAGTGAAAGTTAATAACTACATTATAGCTTTGATATCATTATAATAATAACAATAATAATAATCATAAATAATGTTTGAGTTAACTGTGATTGTATTATTCAATCTATGTATTGGGGCCACATTTTTATCATTGTAAGCTCTATAGAGAATTAACAAACATTAAATTCTTACTGAATGATGTTAGCATTAGCCGACATGTTTAACGTTACCTTATATTGATTGATGTGGCCATTTTAATACGACAGGAAATAACGGCAAATAGATGTCACATAGCTTGTCAGAAGCACTACTTATATATAACTACACCTAAAATAGCTGAACACCGCTGATACGTTGTTATTAATACAGCTGTAAGCAAAACCTGTCCTTAAACTGTCAGTAACTGCCGCGGAGTGAAACACTAACAGCCTGACGCCATTAACGTTAGCGGCTGTCATGTCCACAACTTTTCCCCCACTTCACTGTGATGTTCAGTGTGCCCACAGAGACGACAACAATGGCTCTAAGACGGAGACAAACCTGTAACGACCACAGTCCGTTTACTGTTATCCATCTCCCGTCCTGTCGCTGAGGCTCCGTTGCCGTTTTTAGGTCTTTACTTTGAACCAGGACCGGAGAGAGACAGTCAGTACCCTCCACAGCTGACGGCTCCGTCTCCCAGACACAAATGAAACCTGTCCGCCTCGCTGCGGGATGCGTGAGACGTGACGTGATGACGTCAGACCAAACGGGGTCTCAAATGTGACGTAATAAACAAATAATAGTGTGTATTAAATTGAAAATAATCAATAAATAACGAAATCTAACTAACTGTGTACCGAATGACATGTGGACATGCCAATAATAAAATATTTAAAATTATTTTAAAACGTAATAATTGATAATGATGTATAAATTAAAGTAATTACATTATAAATTATTCTTATAGTAGGCCTATGAGAAAATTACTGAAAGACAACAAGCTTTTCCACAATTCTTGATTTTAACGGGTTGTATTTTTTTTCCTTTTTCACTACATATAGTCCCACAGGATCTTTGCCTAGTTGTTCTCAACCCCTTTCACTTGGGGGCTTGGGGGCTTCTAGTCCATACTCAGCACAGATGTTCCTGTACACTATCCATGCCACTTGGTTGTGCCTCTCGGTGTACATTGTCCCAGCTTGCATCTGATATCCTGCTGCTGGACTGATCTTAGGGACCACTTTGCACAGCCTGCACCTCGGGTCCTATCTACTATGGTAGACCCGTGCCTTTATGGATCTGGTGCTCAGGGCCTGTTCTTGTGCTGCCACGATCAAGACCTCTGTGTTGTCCTTCAGGCAAGCCTTCTCAAGCCACTAGTAGGATTTCCTGATGTCAGCCACTTCCTCTATCTGCTGATGGTACATCCCATAGAGGGGTTTGGTCTTCCACGATATTTCCTCTTCCTCATCATCACCCTCTGTCCTCTGCTGCCAGAAGCACTCAGTCAGCAGGTCATCCTGGGGGGCATCTTCCTGATGTATTCTTGGATGCTCCTTGTTTAATCCTGAATTGTGGCTCGGACACTCACTGAGCCTTGCCCTCCCTCTTTTTGCTGCTCATAGTGCCTCGGGGTGCTTGACATTGGGTGGAACCCACCATGCATTCTGAGGAGTTTTCGTGTCTTGACATCAGTAGCATCCATTTCCTCCTGTGGCCAGCTCACTATTCCAGATGGGTATCTGATGACTGGTACGGTTTACATCTTGATGGATTTGGTCTTATTCCTCCCACTGAGCTGCCGTCTTAGCACCTGCCTTATTCTCTGTAGAAGACCTGAGCACAAGCTATATTCACAGAGCCTTTACTCTCTGTTTCACAGCCTCGTCCTACATTTAAAAAGTATGCAGCAAAACAACCAAAGAGCTAATAGAACAATGGTCATATCTATCAGTTAGTAAGAGGTCGTCAGTTTACTTGTAAGAAAATAAAATAAAAAATATGTGGAACCCCTTACACAAAATAAATAAGTGGCAAAAAATGAAAAACATACTTTTAGTAGTCCCAACGTTTTTCATTTATTTATTTCATGTACAAACATTTCATGTTTTTTAAATTTTCTTTTTACTTCATTTGTTAGAAAAGTTGAACAGCTTTTTGTTATCACTAGGGCCTACAGTATCCCTCCCTGGATCACTCGTCCTCCAAAATTCTAAATGACAATTTAATAACTTAAGCTTTGACATCATTATAATAATAACCATAAAATGTTTCCATAAAATACTTCTGGTGGAAAGTATCACCAGCCTTTTAGCGATTCACTCTCACACATTTATTTGGCTCCACTCGACCTAAATATGATGTAGAAATGTCTGGCAGTACCTCTTCTTGACTGCAGAGGGCAGCATCTCACACAGCCATTATTACGCACCACAGCACCGGAAACGCATTATCAGAAGAAGAAGAGTAGGTTGCAAAATCGTGTTACTGAAGGTCCAAAACAGCAAGTGAAACTTCAACCTTAAAATATACTATCACAATGGTAAGTATTTTACTGTGGTGTTCAGATTAAGTGTTTTATTTTTAAGTAGCACCTCTGCTTCTAAGCTAACGCTAACTGTGTTGGCACCACTGTAGCGCCGGGTCACAATGATGCTCGTTATGCTAGCCAAGTTAAGCTAATAGCTCCTGCAGCTAAACTGAACATAATTGGCACAAAGCGGCTGTTTTAAAATGTGTGGCGACTTTACAAGCAGCGACAGGAAACCCCCATATCATGCTGAAGTGATGACATGAGCTTACTAAACGTTAAATTCTGGTGGTTTGTTGTTGCCTGTCAAAGCGGCAAGTTTGTATAGTGAGCGTGACGCTATGAACACAGGATTCACATAGAAATGCATGCTATGAGAAGCTGCAAATAACAACTGTCCCCGTCACCCTTTGTCAGACACACTGCTGGGTCAATCAATGTATCAGACAACTTCTAGTAACGTTAGCTGTGTATGTATGAAGATGAAAGTTGTAGTCCTGGGAGTCAAGCTTACTCAGGTAACTAGATAATGTTGATGACAGGTGGTTTCCTACATGTGACCTGTGTTTTTTCTGTCATTTAACAGCTTCCACTATCTCTGCTGAAGACTGCCCAGAACCATCCTATGGTGAGGAGACACTGAACTCTTTCTGCTGTCAAGTAACTTGTGATATCACTGTGGCAACTGCATATATTTTAATGCCAATTATCTATACATCATTTGATTAAATACCCTGTCAATCATTATGAGTAAGGTGTATGTCAGTGTATCAGATTAGAAAGTGATCAGTGAAAAAATTCATACAGACTGAAAGCAGTTGAGAAATACAGTAAGTGTCTTACTGTATGTAAAACTATGTAAAGCAAGTAATCTTTCACTGAATGTAGATCTGTAAGCAGAAGGTAATATTGTTTTAGTCTGTCATCCAATCAGTTTATTTTTTAGAACAACTTGTAGACAGTTACATGGGTTTGGCTGTCTGCTTCCCTTTGACTTCGCTTACATTTTTAATATCAAATCAAATCTATATAGCACATTTAAAAAAATAAACGCAGTTGACCAAAGTGCTGTACAAATGAAAAGAAAGACACACAAATCACATAGTACTATAACATGTACAAATAGGGCTGCAACAATTAGTCGACTTATCGATGACTAATCGACTATTAAAATAATCGGTGACTATTTTAGTACTCGACTAATTATTTGAGTCATTTTTCATAGAAAAGTACTATAAAAATACCCCAAAATACTCTTATTGCAGCTTCTTCCATTCAAATATTGGCAGCTTTACACACCCTCCCATGATGGTGAAGTAAAACCCTTTGGCATGAGTACGAAACAAAACATTAGATGACATAATTTTGGGGTTTGGAAGAGACAGACTGACATTTTTCAACATTTTAACACATTTTTTGATAAAATGATTAGTCAACAATGAAAATAATTATTAGTTGCAGCCCTATACACAAATACAAAACAGAGTAAGACCGAGATAATAAAGATAATAAAAATACTGAAATATTAAAACCACTACGAGCAACCAAAGGCCATTGAAAACATGTGCATCTTAAGATTTGTCTTAAAAGTGTTAATGGAGGGTAGCATTTGATCGAGAGTAGAAGGCTATTCCAAAGTGTTGGAGCAGCTACCGCAAAGGCATGATCTTTACTGTCTAATGTCTTACTATGTATGTACTGCGTCTGTGTGCCTCTGTTGCTACTTCAGCTTTGACTGGGTCAGTTTTCTGGTGAAATTTGTGTAACATGACTCGATAAATTACCTCCAATCTAGGCTGCCCTCTCACCTTCAAAATTTAATTGGCTGAAGTTCAGTTTGGTTGTTTTTGCTGTTATTGGGAAACAGCCTATAATCCCTGTGTGTAGTTTTTTGGGGTTATACCACAAGAAAACTTGTGCCCTAGCTTCTGTTGTACACCCTGCACTGTGTTGTCAAGACTCTAAAGCAGCTGGCTGTTTCTTTGTGCCCTTGTCTCCCCAGCTGGTGGAGCTGAAGAATGGGGAGACGTACAACGGTCACCTGGTCAGCTGTGACAACTGGATGAACATCAACCTGAGAGAAGTCATCTGCACCTCGAGGGTAAAGCTGAGCTTGGGTTTTATACAATTATACATCTGTGTGTCCAGTGTTTACATGTAGCTTTAGCTGTAGGTGTCAGTGTCTGCAGAGTCTGCTGTAGATATGTAGGTGCATCTCTCTGAAAATGTAACAGCAAAGAAAGAGAGTGTTTACAAGCACTTACAAGCATACACGTACTCTAAAGTACACATTTTTAAGGTTTGTTTCTCTTTCTTTTTTTGTCCTGTAAATAATTACACAAACAACTTGGGACCTAAGAAAGAAAAACAGACGATAGAAATGTCAATCACAGTACAAAACAGTACAACCTGGCATTATAATCTTGATCTACAGACCTAAAAGGTGTAGAATGAAGCTCGTCATGGCCACCCTTTTTACAAAACAAATTTGTTGTTAAAACATGACTAGGATGCAATGACACCTCCACTCCACTCTAACAGGATGGAGATAAGTTCTGGAGGATGCCTGAGTGCTACATCAGAGGAAGCACCATCAAGTATCTGCGAATCCCCGACGAGATCATCGACATGGTGAAGGAGGAGGTCGTGTCGAAGGGCCGCGGACGTGGAGGTGCCCAGCAGAACAAACAGCAAGGCAAAGGAAGAGGAGGAGCCGGCAGGGGTGAGTGGAAACGCTCTCTGCTGATCAGACAGACTACTGCAGGGGCGTGCTTTTGTGCCTGCTGTCATAATGTGAATATTTGCATGCCAATTTTGGATTGTTCTCAGATTTCTTAGCTATTCGTCAAGAGTTTTGCCTTAACATTTGTAAGAGGGCTCAAGAGCTTTTGAGCACCACCATTTCGACTATTATGAAACAAATATCTGGAGCAGATAATGTACTTTTAATTTGCACAGGTATCACACAAGTAAAATGTGTCCATATCTGTACCCCTTGGGTACTTTGTACTCTCTTTTAGTAGCTAAATAGTTCTCAAAACAGATCTGAAGCGCAATTCTGAGGCTGTTCTGTAAATGGTTTTCTAATAGATGATAAATATAGCAACTTCTAATCAACCTATATCAATTTCAAGATTAAAAAAAATCAACGATTACATCCTGTTCATGCCTGGGTTAAGCCACACTCTATTTTCAGTTTAAACTCTGCCCACTTATAGTACAGATACAGATAATTTAGTTGGTTAACCCTATGGGCCCTAGGCGTTTTTGGGGTATTTTTACTGCCTTTACTTTTAAGCTCATATCACAGTCATTATAAAGGCTACATACACATGCTATATCTTGGTTTTTTTTTTCAGGACAATCTGGGCTAACCAGATTTGCCATCATTCCATGTCCTACTGTGTGCCTGTATTTTATATTAATTTTTATATCAATGAAAAAAACAAATCCTTGTGACTAAATTCTTACATTTTTACATGTATCTCAGCATAGCAAGTTGGAAGTTGACATATTCTGCCATATCTGAAGAGGGGAGACTCTCTGGAATCTGGCAATATAAGAACCATGATGCTGGGACATTCTGTCACTTCACAGCTGTCCAAAACATGTGGTTTGTGCCAGGCGGACATGATTGCCAGTAATTATTCATAATTGCAAGAAATTCCATTGAATCATTCACAAGTCAAAAATGTGTTTTATCTGAAAGAAACATGCAATATTTACATCTAAGATAATGACGGCACAATGATGTGTGGTATCATTGGAAAGCTCTGCTCCTGCGCTTTCATGTGATATGCGTGGCATTTCTGTGCGACCCTGCATTCGCGAGTAATCCATCCAACAGTAATGTGTGTGCAGAGCTGTATGAAAGCTCTGTTATACATAATTTTAGTGTAAATTTATCTTTTTTTTTTCGCTGTGAAAACATTGGACTACCAACAAGTGCTTGGTCTTGTCGGAAAGCTATGATTCAGCTGTTTCACGTGATATGCGTGGCTTCTCGCTATGACGCACAGTCGCGGAGAAAATCCACAGAGAAGAACAGGTGTGAATTTGGAAGCACTATGCGTCGTTCGGGCCCATAGGGTTAAACAGATGCAGATTATGGTGTACCAAATCACCAATGTACCAAATATAACAAATCCAGCAAGCTGTAAGTGAGAACACATTGCAAATAGAAATCTCTCTGAACAGCAATTATCACAGCTAACAAACATTAAAATATTTCTCATGTCTTTCTCGCTCTCTCCTATGTCTCTCTGTAGGTCTGTTTGGCGGTCGTGGCAGAGGAATGTCAGGTCCTGGTCGCGGTCAGCAGCAGCAGATGCAGCAGCAGGACAAGAAACCAGGCAAACCACAGGGAATGAAGAACCAGCACTGACGGACAACATCACACCTTCAACAAGACATCCTGTTATTCAGAGTGATTTCTCCTTCAGTACACGAAGATAAAATGAACTCTCTGGTGTTTCCCTTTGCTGTGATGTTCGTCTGAACTGACCATTGCAGAAATCACACTGGGAGACTTTAGGAGAAGCTGTGCTTTTGCACTGAATTTTGTTTTTTTTTTAGCATCTGTAAGTTGGTATTAACATTTTTAGTATGACCATTTACCAGAGTATCAGTCACTTCTGACAGACTCCTTTTCTACATTAGTAATATTTATCATTACAACTCTGCAATAACATGATGCATCATAAACTACATTATATTACCCCAAGCTGTTTTCCATCAGTTGGTACACTGGATTGTGGTTTTTATTTTCATTTTTTTTTGTCTCTTCAGGTGTAGTTTTCATGGTGAAAAACCTCCTCAGCCCCAACTTCTGTTGCATGAACATTTTTATAATGCTCTTTATTTTTGTCTTGTTTATGACGTTTTGTGGTCTGTCTGCTGCACTGCCATGTGGTCAGATGACGGCAGGTGAAACAGTAGACCTGGCAGTTGGGTGGGCCAAAGTTCAGTCCCCGAAAATAATCCCTTATGTTGAAGCATTTATAAGATGACACATCATGATGAGTGAGATTTCCAGATTAAAAAAAAAAAGATTCTCATATTCTTAAGTCTGAAATGGATAAGTCCAATATGTGTCATCATGGTTGGTTTTCATTTTATTTTTGTAACAGAAGACGATGTTGTAATTTATTTACACGAGAACATGAGAATAAAAAGACTTTTGTTAAAGCAGTCGTATTTACTTAAACATCATTTGTGTTATGATTTAGCCACAGTTGGTAGCTATTTGTTCTGCTAACGAAATACTTCACCCACTAAATGATCATTCATTTATCATCGAGACTAAAAGTGAAACATGTCTATGCTTAAACTTTTAGTCTCTTTCAGAGAGGGCTGAAGGCAATGCATGGGTTAAGGAGGTACTGACGACACGACTGAATACAAGAGACTTGGATTATACTGTATGAGTTGTGTGAGAGTTTGTAAACAAATGATCTGAGGTAGTTTTGCTGTTGTTAAACATGGTCCCCAATTACTTCAGTTGACCTTCGCTAAGTCCCGCCCCCGGACGCAGACTGACCAATCATAGCGTAGCATCAGGCCAGCTCAGACCAGGGTCTGACAACAACACAGCTGTGCTCCATTGACTAATGCAGTTGTTTCAGGTTTCCTTCATTTTCAGGCTGGTTTTGTGGATTTGGAGCTAAATGTTGTGCCTGGGGCACGTCGTGTATTAATGATACTCGTTACCTGGAGAGGTTGGAAAAAGATGTACGTTTCTTCCCTGTTCCAAAACCAAAATCAAACCCTGAAAAGTGTAGGGTTAGCTAGCTAGCTACTGAAGATATAGCCTACTGAATGTATACACATGCTGCTTTTGCTTTTTAATGATTATAACAGTGAATAAAAGCCGACCCTGCTGTACAGGAACCAGTGAAGGGAAGCAGGGAAACTTTGCTGATATTCAACCAGCTGTGTGTCATCACATTCTGAAACACTGTTCATCTGCACACACCGTGATGCCACACAGCTGGTTCAATATCAGCAAAGTTTCCCTTTATATTCATTGTCTTCTGTGGTGATCAGCAGTGATGTGGTGGTTCACTTTTACATTGATCTGTAGCCTATAGTTCGGCTTTAGCTTCTAACTATCTTTGTCTTTTTAACCTTGTTACGACCCCTAGCTCGTGGTGGGAAAAGGGAAGCAACATAAACCAGTTGTAGTTGGTAAAAGTAAAATTATTTATTAAACAAGGTTTGGCAAACAGAAATTGTGAGGCGAAGCTAAAGGAAAGGGCTGATGGATGCTGCTCAACTTAAAGAAACAAATAGAACCAAAACTAGAGTATTAATAAGGAGACTAAATAAATCTAAAGCAAGAAACAAAATCGCTAACTAACTCTAGACTGGTTCAAAACATAATACAACTAGAGCAGCACCCCTTAACCTAGTGTGTCTAAACAGTAGAGATACCTGTCAGTATCGATAGTGCAATCAGTTATTGAACCTTATTTTACCTAGCCCAGTCTTATCTATCTAGTGCCTCATATACTTCAATCATTCAAGTTAATGCCACATTAACATTTCCATAACCCGAAAGACACGTTTGGCAAACTACTGTACAGCCGCGCCGATTGATGAGCTGGCTGAGGCTTATATAGCCTTGCTCCTCAACTGCAGCCTGGGGATTGGTGGAGCTGATGTGGTACCGTGCCAATCCAAACGAAGGAGACGTGGCCAGGAGATGGACGGTGGGGGGGAAGGCACACCTCCTCAGCGTGAGCCAATCAGGTGCAGGGGATCACACAGCCTGCTCAGCATAAAACACACAACTATATATCAAGTTAAACTATGAGGCAGGGGTACGGCGGCGGTGGCCGTAATAAACCTGTTGTTGCTGCTGAGTCAGTTTGACATCCTGGATATATCCTTCAAACACAGACTGTAGACCCCTCTGTCTGCTTCTCTCTGGAATCACTGTTTTATTGTTCCAAAAATATGATAATATTTCTTCAGGGAGTGCAGTTAGTTACAGAGCGGGCTCCATGCTTACTCTGACAGCTTGTTGGACCATCACAAAAGGGCGGGGCTTAGCAAAAGGTCAATTAATTGACATAGTTTTCTACCCAAAATTCAAGGTAACAGGGCTTGTGTAATTAATCTATAAATGGTCATTTTGTGGGTGAAGTATTCCTTTTAACAGCCTGGAATCAAATTGCAATATTTTTGCAGCTACACTCATTCACTTCCTTTAATTAGGTGTGTCCTTTACATTTTATATAGATATAATATTCTTGATTTATAGCCGGAATTAGCTACAGAAATGATTTTAAATACTTAGAAAAAAAGAAAAGTAGAACTGGAATGAGTGAGAAGGTGCATGTGGACCATATGCTGTATAATGAGAATAAAAGTTAAAATTCAAAGGCAATGTCACAGTTTTCAACAAAGATTCAGTCTCACCAGTTCCATAATCACATAAAGGATTTCATATGATAATCATAAACTTTATTTATTCAGCATTTTTTAAGACAAAGTCAAAACAGGGTTGAATAAAGTATAAAATATTTTAAGGACAATCAGGCAGATAAAGTCAGATGATAAAAATAAAACAGAATAAAAATACCCAACAATGATATAAGATAAAAAATAAAAAATATAAAATATGCTAAAAGAATTTCATATAACAGCACCTGATTGTTCTTTTTCCTTTCTGAGTGAAAATCAGTTTACACTCGAAACAGTACGGCTGTTGATGTCACAGGCTGCACATACATATATATAAAATGATTCATTGATCACTTACACAAATTTAATAATTTCCAAACTTAGTAATCATTCATTTAGAAAATAGAAATATGAACTCCAGCTCACAAATGTACAATTGTGAAACTGACTGGAATCTCATGACACGCATTATTTATTATTTGACATTTTAAAAATTGTCTTAAAAAGTTTGGAGACATTTTGCTCCCAATTTCCTTATTTAGATTTTCTAAAACTAGGAAACACACCCATATCCAGGCTTTCAAACATCCCTGGTGTCACTCATGGGTGATGTCACACCCTATGACCATTTTCCAGAGCTTGTCACCCTTTAACATGACCAGATGGAGCAAAAATAAATCAGATAAATCAAAAACATCAATTAAATTCTCTCAAATCAAAACAATCAGTTACTTAAACCTATAAGAGATAAAGATAAAAGAGATAAAAAAAAAGATAAAATAAAATGCAAAAATGTGTATCACATTAGTATCACATTTTTTCTGTGCTTGCTTATAGTGCCACCGTGCAGATTCATTACCCTCATTATCAGATTGTGGTGGTCAATAGTAAAATATATTTTAGCACAAAAATGTAATCCTGAAACAGATAATATAAAACAGTTACACAATATATACTAATCAAAGTCACACATTTCCTGAATGCATTTTTGTTTGAGTGAGGCTCACACAGTAATTCTTCAACTGATTTATAATATAGTTGGTTGTTTCATTCCATTTAAAAGAGCCATAAAGTTACATTTTTAGTCTTTCATACGTAATTATCACAGAAAAAAATAAAAATATAAACATGTAAAGGACAAAATAAAATGTAACTTCTTTGGTTGTTCAAAAATTAAACTGAAAAACTCAAATCTCATCTCAAATCTCCATACTCCTCCGGTTCACCCCTCCCTCATCCAGTCGTGTTTGACTGAGACTGTGTATTTCCAGGTCTCCACAATCTGGGACAGCAGCAGATTTTCAGGAAACGTCTCCTCCACGTAATGAGGCACCTCAACTTCTTTCCGGTCCATGTAGGCACCCACCGTCTCTTTCACACTGACAAGAAGGAATAGTTTTTCAGTAAGGGTCATGTTTGCATACATGCAATACAGTATATACTGTACACATACTGTTTTCTGGCTTTTACCATGATAGGAGATTCTTGTTATTGATCCTTTATCTTTAAAAGTTGTTTTTTAACCTACTGGTACTTACAATACAAGGAATTAAACACATAGAAGAGAGCAGCGACTCAAAACTGCAGCTGAGAAAATTGTAGGTTTAATTTCTGTTGTGGATTTGGGTGGAGTCAGTCAGGTATAGGGAGTTAATACACATCTCTTTCCAGGGCTACTGGTGGGAATAACTGCATTAATAAGAAACAATTTTGTTTAAGATGTTTACCTCCAGGATGGGTTGAAGTTGTCGGTGGCCCGTAGGCGGCCCAGACTCAACAGGAGGAACTCGTGCATCTCAAGCAGCCATTGGTCCACGTTTCCCCTGACCACGAAGCCTCTCAGATCAATCTTGTTTTCCTCCGTCAGCGGCATCAGATACTCAGCTGGATATCCCGAAAAGGGCTCCTTTTTATAGAAACAAGCCAAATTATTTGAAATGACTGAAATAAGAGTAGTGTAAGTCGTGATGCTAGTGCCTATGTTTTTTGTTTGTTTGTTTTTTTAAGTGATTTTCTATCAAGTGCTCTCATTTTACTTGGAACCATTCATTCATTTTCCTCTAACCATTTATCCTGTTAGGTGTCGCGGGGGAATGGAGCCTATCCCAGCTGACACTGGGCGAGAGGGGTACATCCTGAACAGGTCACCAGACTATCACAGGGCTGACACATAGAGACAGACAACCATTCATGCTCACATTCACACCTACGGCCAATTTAGAGTCACCAATTAACCTGCATGTCTTTGGACTGTGGGAGGAAGCTGGAGCACCCGGAGAAAACCCACGCTGACACGGGGAGAACACGCAAACTCCGCACAGAAGGGTTCAAACCAGGAACCCTCTTGCTGTGAGGCAACAATGCTAACCACTGCACCACTGTGCTGCCTACATTTAACCAGTCCCCCAAAATCCTGCATAAGGAAAACTTACCCTCCTGAGAGGCAGCATGTGTTCAGATTTGAGGGAGGAGAGGAGTTGCCACAGAGAAACACAGTGTCTGAGGTGACATCTGCCCAGAGCCTGAAGAGACAACACAGCAGAGTTGAGAGCCTGACAGCACACAACAGGGAATTAAAAAAGATATTAACTTACATCTACAGTTTATTTTCTTTAGTTTATGGGGTTTTGAGGGTATAATTAAGATTTTTGGGACTTGGCCTTTACCTGGAAAATGCCACTTGAAAAGACATGTACCGACTAAGAAGAGACACATGACCACAAAGAAACATGAAGTGACTTAAAGGGACATAAAATGACTGAGAGGTGCTAAACAGCTGCACAGAGACACAAAGAGACGACTACAGAAAAGACAAAACCAAGGACACAAAATGTCCACATAGAGACACTAAACCACAGAGGCTAAACAACAATAAAGTCTGTGTGTCTTGCTCCTTTGTAGAAGAGGTGGTGGCCTTCTGCATAACTGTGCCCAGGAGCCGTTATCTCATTTTCTACCTATGCTTGAGTTTTAGGGAACCTTAGAAATGATTCCAGACAGAGGCTGCATATGCACCGACCTGCAATACTTGGCCATCTGTGTGGTCGGCCATCTTCAGAGTGTCGTGGAGGTAAGTGACCAGCGGCATCGTGGGATCACCACCAGTCATCGAGATGAAACCCAGGATCAGCTCTGCAATCTTGAGCGCCTCACACACCTCGCTATAGGAGTGCAGCTCTCTGGACAGGGCATTCCGGGTCAGAGAGGACAGAGCGGCCTACGGGGACAACAACAACAACAACAAAGTATGAAGCTTGAAGCCGAAATCTCCTGTAAATGTGTGACCTCTGTATCTGTATGTGCATAACAAATGTCGAATTGTAGAGTTAAAGGTGACGACTGTGAATTACATTTGCCATTCAACTTGACCCTAATGTAACAAAACGGTTCTTAGCATTTAGGTGAAACTAGCTGATGTTTACACTGTTAATTACGACAAAGCAGCACTGTGAAAGAAAATAATGATCTGTTTTAGATAAGATTTATTAATGAGTAAAGAACCCTCAGCTGTGGTAACCTGCGTAAGACAATTTCAGTGTTTTCTGATATTTTATAGACATAAAATTACCAGTAGATTAATTGTGATAATGTGTAATTGCAGCCCTAGTAAAAGCAAACCTTAAATCTGTATTTGTCTTTACAGCTGGGCTGGTGTGAGGTAAAACACATTTAGGGCAAAGCTAATTGTATAATCTAATATGTAGTCAAACATCATAATTATGTTGCTAACTATGCAAAAGCAATGTACAGCATTCAATCATTTACCTGAGGTACTTTTCCTTTGACAGCTTTGAAAATGGTTTCATAGTCTCTTTCTTGTGTGTTGACCAGCGTGGGGATCCCCTAAAATAAAACATAGTGAGCTGAGTGAAGCAGGGAAATAATACAATCACCCATTCTTGAGGATTGGGACAACTGTCGTCCTACCAAAAAAATTATGAAAAAATTATAACTCATCAACACACTAATTCTGTTTTTGGGGTGAAACTTTTTTTTTTAAAGGATTTATATGTATGACAAAAGTTCTCTATACCACAAGGACCCCTGTCTCACTTCCTGGTTTCCAAACAGGCGTGACTGCTGCTCTAGTATTGGTAAGCAAGGTGGTGCAGTACACATTACACTGTACGGAAGTGGTTAAGCTTGTGAGTGTCCATTAATGCTCCTCTCATTTACTTTAACTAAATCCGGCTGTGTGGACTCACTGTGCGGGTGATGAGGGGTTTTCCCTGCAGGAAGCGGGTGAGGATCTGCTGCTGGATCCTGGACAGGTCATACTGTGATATCGTCTCGTGGCCGCGTTCCAAGCTGTACTGGCAGTTGGATAAAACCAGAGGAAGCAGGTCCTTCTCCAGCTCATAGCGGATCACATGCTGCTCCGTTAGCTCTGCCACACTCACCCTGTAACTGCTGCGCACATCACCATCCAAATATGAACTTTATAGTCCAGTAATATCATTTATTTTCCCAAACTAATAAACCACAAGCCCCTTACTCCACATTTTTTGTTTTAAAGTTGTTGTAGATCTTAAGAATACAGAAAATATATTTATCTTTGTGCTATGTTTTTGCATGTTTAGCTTGTTCACTACAGCTGTTTGAAAAGTCTGCATGTGCATTTTGGAAGTTTTTGGACTTGGACACTTGTTTTTTATGTAGTTCCATGTGTATGTGGTACCTGCTGTCCTCTCCAGTGTGTTTATCCACAGCGTTCACCAGCTCATTATGTAGAGCCACCAAGTAGCTGACCAGCCCTGTGGCACACAGGCCTGGACCCTGACGCCGGGGCAGGAGGTACTGCAAGTCGCTGGTCAGGTCCAAATCCTTGCTGCAAAATTCATCTGGGATCTTCAGCTCACCTGTAGGGCAAAAAAGACAGAAATGATTTCTTATTCCCAACATAACAGCATGTATGTATTCAGTGTGTTATTTCATTAAATTTGTTCATTCAAACAATCACTGTTGCACCAAAGAAACTATTTCCACCAACTCCCTTTCCAACGACACCACTTTGAATCCAGTCTGTGGTGAGTGGGCAGAATCACAACATTCATTCATTCATTTTCCATAACTGCTTATCCTGTTAGGGGTCGCAGGGGGGCTGGAGCTTATAACATTATAAAAAATGGCCTCATGTTTGTAGTAAATGTAGTATAGCTGACATTGGGCGAGAGGCAGGGTACACCCTGGACAGGTCGCCAGACTATCACAGGGCTGACACATAGAGACAGACAACCATTCACACTCACATTCACACCTACGGACAATTTAGAGTCACCATTAACGTAAACTGCATGTCTTTGGACCCGGGGTAAACCCATGCTAACACGGGGGAAACATGCAATCTCCACACAGAGGAGCTCCCCCACCCTGGGTTCAAACCAGGAACCCTCTTGCTGTGAGGCGACAGTGCTAATCTAATGCTATTCTGTTTACTTGACAAGATGAATTTAAGAGAGTTGTGACTATCAAGGCTCAAATAATGGAGCTACAGTAGATGTACTCTGATCACTGTGTAAATGCAAACAACGTAACACTGCTCAAGTGCTCACAGGATACATGACACAATTGCAGAATTGCATTGCTCTGGTTACAGATGAGTTACTGAAGGTACATTTAAACTAAACTCTTCTTTATCTTTATGGCAATTTTAACAAGATGGAGTTTTCAAACAAAGGAGGAGGTGCTTTACTTACTACTGGTTACAGACTCTCTGAGCAGATTCCATGTTTTCAGGAAGACGTCGATGTGTTTCTCATACCATGCCCTCATTTCTGAAAGAAAAAAAAAAATAAGTGAGACAAAGAAAAATGTGCAATCTTTTTTGTTTCCTGTCCCCATCAATTGTCAGTCTATTAGATTTTAGCCAATGCACTTTTAATAACAAACAAGTCTTGAACCCAGTCATTCCTCAGAGATGTCACAGCTGTACCTGTCTGCCTCTCAATGAACTCTCCAATGGAGCCCACTATCTGGTCTGTTGCGTTCTGGAATTTTCTCACCAAGCGTTTCTGCAGGATTAGGATCTCTGGAAGGAGCTTAATCTGCCGAAATTCTCTCTCCTGAAAAAGAGTAACACAAATTAAACAGATAATCAAGCCTTATCCATGTCCTTGCACCCCTCCCACAGACTTTTCACCCGGCTGTCGTCAGGAAAATAGTAATGGAGCATCTGCTGAGGCCCTTCAGATTCATTTACACCCTGCTGTCCCTAAGCTCAACATAACAAGTATTACTTGCACCATACTACAGAAATATCTTTGGGTAACTGCTGTGCATTGCAACACTTTACATTGGCTTATAGTTATTTACATACACTACTTATCTTTATATTTTCCTTATACTGCGCTGCATTTTTTGCACTATATGTTTTATGCTTGTCATGTATTTAGTTATGTACCTGTTCTTGTATCTTGTTCATTCGTTCATTCTTTTGTTTTGCACCAGAAACAAGGGCAAGAGAATTTGGTTCCTCTATGTATTGTACTAGATAGAGATAAATGACAATAACGTCTCTCTTGTCTTAGTTCTTAATTTTTTATGAGAAAATGACAACTTATTCTAAGTTATCTTTTGGGCATGACTTACATTTGGTCTCAAGGTTGCATAAAAGAAAGCCCCATGGAGTTTCCAAAATGCAAAGATCCTCTGAATGTGCACACATTTCAATATTGTGTAGAGGTGGACTTTTTAAATTGTTGGTGGCACCAGATCATAGGTCAGGAGTCAAAAATAATTATGAACCATCCTTTGGAAATTAATTTCTACAACAAAATTTACAACAACCTCGCATGTGATCAAGAAAGATGTCCTGCTCTGGTTCAAACTGTTGGATGGTGAAGTGAATTGAAAGCCACTTAGTCACAAAGCTTTACACCTCACAGACATTCACCTTCTGCAGGAACCTCCAGAGAAGAGGCAGCTCCTCCTTTTGGTCATACTGCTCCACAGTGTGTGTGAGGCTGAGCAATGAGAGCCTCTCCCTGCAGCTCCACACCGGTGAGCTGTGGACCTGAGAGCCCTGGGGCAGCGACGTCAGGAAGGTACAATCATCGCCGAAGGTCGTCCGCATGATGAAGTTAGAGGACACACGGGAATCCATCCTGATGCTTTCCTTTGCCTCTTGCAGGAGATGATCAAGATCCTAGACACAAAATATTGGCAGTAGTGGAGGGGGAGTTTACTGCAGCGATGGAAACATTTGTCTTGTGCAAATGGAAACCATGAAAATTTGAGGTAATACATGTGAGAATATGAAGAGAAGCAGCTCATTCACATTAGACATAATATTTAGATCATACTAAAAGTAGCTCATAATAAAAGTAGATACCCATGCATTACATCTATGTTAATGCACATTTTCAAATATCATAGAAGCTTTATCATTCTTCATAAGAAGAAAAGAAGAATATAAAAAGTTTTAACCCTTTAAGGTCAGACAGGGATTTCCGACGAGGAACTGAAGCTGTTATATCACCCTCTTCTAAGCCAGACTCCATACAGAAAAACAGTGATTTAACATCACTGATCACAGGAGCTGCTGGTCTACTGCTGCATCCATCAGTGTGTTAGTTTGTGTTATTGTGTGACTTCTGTGTTTTAAAGGGTTAAGGTGAAAGGTGTTACCCTCAACCGAGGCGTCATAATATCTGCAGCCACAGTAGTCTCCCAGGTGTTTCTGGATGCTTTGGTTGTTAGGCGAGGATCAATACCAGCTGGTTAGAGTCAAACAGAGCGTATATTATAAACACATAATGTACTGTTGTGTTTTATATTTATAAAAATTACGTAAAAATAAACAGAAACTTCCAGAAAGGTTACACTTCTTTCATACATGTAACATTTTCACTGTATCCTACAGATTCAGAAAATTCAAAGCTCAACTCTCTAGTCATTAGTGTAGGTTGTATGTCTGTACATACTGATGGACAAAAATCCTGGAATTCCTGACCAAGCAAGAATACCTAGGATGGTAAATTGACAGAGGGAGCAATAAGCTCCATGATTTATTTTATAACAGACACAATGTGGAAACAGCCACTTCCTGTCGATCCTGTTGTTTCCCGTTCTCCACGAGCACCCGACACAAGATTTTGATCTACATTTGTAATACAGAGCAACCAGTCGCCCCTCTTTGTCTAGTTTATAGAGCTTGTTGGAACAGATAGAAACATTGTGAGAAACAACTGTGTGTGCTAACTGATCTTGGTGTTAACTAGTGGTGGTCTTACAGTGACTGCCCGGCACTAGCTCTTGCAGGGATTTGATCACCAAGTGGACAGTCGTAACAGTGTTGTCAGCTCCTCCTCCCAGTGCCTGTGACAGCTGATCCAGATCCTTTATTATGTGTTGACTGAGAAACAAACAAACATCCTCCACAGGTGGCTGGATGATGGTCTGAACGAACTAAAGAAACAAAGAGTGGGGGACAAGTCAGCAGGCACAATTATTTGTTACATTTATCTATTTTGCAGAGAGATCATTATTTGGATAGAAGCACTTTATATCTCAGCTACACACAATCCAGCACAGTTAGCCAGAGTTACTTTGAAAGTGCTATTACTGTGGTGTACTGCTGCTACAGTAACTGCTGATGCACATTTTCAGAGAGTTGATGTCTCATTTTGAGAGTAACTCTTCATCCTCTCACCTGAGACTTCTCTGAGGCTCCCAGCAACATGGCCAAATGTGTAACCAGCCTGACCAGAGTGAACGGACCCAGAGACATGTTTTTGGTGTCTGGGTTGTTTCTCCGCTCAGGGTCTCCCAGGATGTGGCCAGGCCTTGTGCGATCACTGAAACAACAGATTGGGGAGTTTTTCCTTATCCAAAGTGAGGGTCCGTGACAGACCGTGATGTGTTGTTGTTGCTGTATATATTGTAAAAAAACCCTTGATGAGGGGTCTACAACGTTTTTCAGGCCAAGGACCCCTTAGCTAAAGAGAGATGGAGCGGGGACCCTCAATTTTTTTGAGTCTCCAGAAATCACATGACATTGAAACAACTTGAAACCTAGTAGTTCCCATCAATCTCAATAATATTGGCAGCTGGCAATATATTAGATATATCAGGAAGAGATTTAACAGGAAGTACACTTAATTCGGAGAAAACATACTTTTAAAAAATTCATTTTCAACATGAATGCATGGAATGCATGACTGTGGCTTGACCACTTACTTCTGCAGCTGAATTGGTCTGAATCCAAGCACGGCGAAATGATTTACCCCTCCAACCTGCTCGCCACACTCCAAACATTTGCCTCTCTGCATGGGCAGGCCACACTGCAGCGGAACATAGTAGATCAGATCATTTTTTTCATCCACTGTATGATTTTAGCACATCGTGTCTGTAATCACTGCGCAAATAAATAAAGTACAGCTATGTAAAAATAGCTTACCTCATCAACAAAGCACGGATGATTATTTGGACATACTGTGAAAACATATAAAAACATAATAATTCTATATAACCTGGTTTACTGAGACAGAAAATGAATGAAATTTAGAACCAGTGGGTGGATTTATGCAACTCCTTTAGCATTCACTGTGATAATGCTAACCCAGAGCAATGCAATTTATCTGAGGACTTTCAGACATCTGTTATATTTGAGAAACTATCCCAGAAACCCAGGCTGCAAGAAAGTATAATTTAAAATTGAGGTTTATATATGAATGGATGATTCTTACCATACCAAGTGAGGTTCCCATAGTTTTGCTGTATGGCTGCCTGAGCAACAGCTAACATGTCATCAGGCATTGTGGGTATAAATGCCGTCTGATAGACAAAATCAAATGAAAATGTAAAAATTAGCATGAAGGTAACATGAAAAAAAAAACATTTTTCATACAACTGTTCTGTTATAATAATCTGTCTTGGAAAAAAAAGCCCATCCACTTAAGTTTGAAAACACTCCCAACACTAACGTGAGGCACCTCAAGGCTGTAAAATTGACAGCCCTCTGTCATCTGACACGAAGGAGAGCTGCAATGATCAAGAAAGGCAGATATGACACATGCTTACCTGCATGTTTTCAGGAAACAGACCAAGTTGCTTGAGTGGCATCAGGAGGAGGTGATTCCCAGTGAGCAGCACAGCTGCCAGATGGATGGTCAGCTCAATGATAGTGTGGTCCAGGATGGTATGACCAGGGTTTATGGACAAGTCTCCCAACCTGTTATGAACCAGGGCTGAAGCAAAATCCCTTACTGCTCTCTGATGTAGGTACGTTGAGCCCTGGATGAGCTCTCCAAATGCTTGACATCGCTGCAGGGAAAATGTAAGATGTTATACAGTGGCAATGAGCAAGATTTTTAAAGCACCATTCTACAACATGACGATGAGATATTATCTTAAGGTTGCACTAGGGTGGTGACATTTCCACCTTTGTGTAATAAGTAAGTGGAAACTGGAGCTCTGCAGTATGCAAGTGACTCATTTTATTTTAAATCAGTGGTTTGGATGTGTGTGCATGTACTGACAAGTGGAAGGCCTTATTGCAGCCATAAAGCACTATCCCTCACTGACTTCTCACACTTTCAACAGTATAAATTGTGCTCTGCCAAGCTAGAAGTGCTGCTGGCTGAAGAAGGGTAAATGTTTCCTTTCTCTTTGACTCTGTCTACAAATTTTTGATAGATGACCTGCAGAATGTGTTCCTCTTTCTTGTGCAAAGCTAAAGGGATTTGTTAGCGTTATGCACTGCCCACTGAGGTGCATCAATATGGAAGCATTTTCACTCAACATACAATCTTACTATATAATGACGAAACTCTGAGTGTCTGTGTGTGTGTGTGTGTGTGTGTGTGTGTCTGTCTGTCTGTCTGTCTGTCTGTGTCTCTGTTCCCCGTTTTTCTCCTCACTGACTTGGTCAATCCATGTGAAATTTGGCACAGTGGTAGAGGGTCATGGGAGATTGTGAATGAAGCAATATTACATCAATTGGCCAAAGGGGGGCGCTACAGCAGCCGATTGAAATTGCAAACTTTGAATGGGCATATCTCATGCCCCATATGTCGTAGAGACATGAAACTTTGCACAGAGATGCCTCTCCTCATGAGGAACAAATCTGCCTCAAGAACCCATAACTTCCGGTTATACAGATTTTCCGCCATTTCGAATTGTTTGAAAAACACTTCAAATCAATCTTTTCCTAGGAAGTTTGACCGATCTGCATGAAACTCGGTGAACATAATCTAGGGACCAATATCTAAAGTTCCCTCTTGGCAAAAGTTGGAAAACTTACTAAAACTGAGCTTCTATAAGGCAATGAATATTGTGGAGGGTGTGGCTCATCACATAAAGGTGTATAACATCTCAAGGGTTTCACCGATCACCACGCAACTTTGTAGGCATATGACCACACATAATCTAAGGGGACCCCTCCATTATTGACCCCATCAAACAAAATGGGGGCGCTAGAGAGCTAATTTCTTATCTAGGCCTAACCATATCGATTTTTACTAAACTTGGTAGATATGTACAACAGGACGCCTCAAGGTGACCAGAGAAATTTAACTCTAATTGGCAACTGGGTGGCGCTATAACAATGCGACGGATCGCTGCGGCTCCCACTGTGGCTGAATGTTGTTGTTTTTTTTCTAATTTTTGATATGACTAAGTCATGGTATGGTATGCTGTACTCAATGGGTATGGACTAGTCCTTGGATTATTTTACACACATTAACACTACAGCACAGCATCAGCATTTGGGGGTTGGTACCTCAGGGGTTGGATGGAGACCTGTATTTGCAGATCTGTACAGAGTGGTAACCTCTCGGAAAAGCGCCAGAAGGATGAACAGTGTTCGATTCCTTGGTGGTGCGGTGCATCTCTAAATCAATGAAAAACAAACACAGATTAATTTGTGAGCAGCTGATATTCAGACTGACTAAAATTGGTCCTAGTATCAAATATAATAATGAAACAGATCTCAAGGAACAAGAGTTATAGCTCTTTAACTGCAAAATTTTAGACCTTTAAATATATATTTCCTCTACCAGGCAGTCATTGACTTCCATTCTATACAGTACTGTGTGAAAATCTGATTTGTGCAGTCCATTGCAGCGAACCTTGAGTCACTCAACTTATTTTTGGTAAACATTGCATCATCATTGCATGGTTATGCATTTTCAGAGCAGATTTCCTCACAGCTATACTAAAACTATCGGTGGTAACCCTAAACTTGACCCATTTAAAAAACCAAGACGCTGCTAGTTCATTTTCATACAATACAGAAATTAATGGAAGCCATGTCTACAATGGTAAAGACTAAATAAAGTAGAATCCTAACACACAGCAGCAGTGTTTGATTGATGAAAACAATCACCTATGATGTAAAATAACTTCTGGTAAAAAGGCTAAAGATTAAAAATCACTGACATACCGTGCATTACATTCACTGAATAAGTGAAAAGACCTTATACATGAACTACCCATATAGATAGTTTGGAAGAAACCGCATGGAACATTTAGTCTACTTGTGGCAGCAAAGAGTTTGGTAAATTGAATTCAAATACCTCACAGACGTCTTCTATCTGCTCAACATCACCGTCCACAACTGCCTTGGCAACTGCATCCCTCACCGCCTTGTATTCCTCTCCATACACAAGATACTGGTCCATCTGGCCTCCGTCTTCATTCTGTTCACACCATGAGTGGAGTTAGAGGAGCAAAAACAATATTAATGTAATATAGCCAAATTGAGGTGTTATTTATAGATGTTCTGGTGGCTCCCTGATTCAGGATTTGTTGTAGTAGATATGCTCATGAATGGCGGTGTACCTGCTGGAGGATCTCTGTCGGGAAAAGCCAGCTGAACTCTGGTTGTTTCACCAGCGTCTGGACGAACTTGACACCCTGCCATTCGCTGAGCTTACGGATCAGGTAAACGCGGTACCAATCGTTCCCACTGTCCTCACAGAGCTTAATCACCATGTTCAGGAAATCTTCTGCTCCATCTGGGACATTGTTGTCTGTAATGGCAGCGCAGTTCATAGACTCTTATTTCATTTTACCGATAACCAATGCAAGCTGTCAGAGCAGTTGTGAATATATCTCTTACCGGACAGTCTGTCACTGATGAGGTGGGCAGCCATGGTGAGGGACAGACGCAATCGGGCAATGTGCTGCAGATGTTGAATAGACACTGCTGCTGAATCAGCAGTGACTTCAGCCAAAAAGAAGCGCAAGAACTGTGTTTCACCATTGTAAAATGGCTTCAGCAGTTCAGCCCTGTTGCCCTCCTGAGGCATTTTCTCCCACATGGAATCCTACAAAGACAAGATGTTGAAGTAGCATCAGTTACCTCACTTCAGACACTGAAACAGCAGTTTGTGGTACCGCACTGTAGGACAGTGCTAGGCAAACAGGGTCCAAATCTGGCTCTCGAGCAAAAGTATCTACCCCCCTGACAAAGTCAAAGTTTTCTCTTTCATATCCGCCATCAAAACTTTTGCATATTTTTTTTTTTACATATTTAAATCTAGTTGTGTAGAGGTAGTTGATTGGGTGGGTGTACTGCCAGGGAGATAGGTAGGTTACCTTGTATACCCTCTACCACACCACTGTGTAAATCCCAAATATGACCTTCTAACATGTAATACTGCAGCCCATGAGGAGATAAATCAATATATAAATGAATCTGTTCCTTAAATGAATCAATAGAAATAAACAAACATATAAGAAGTTCAGACTTACATTTCCACAACACCTGTGCAACAATACAGAAAAAAATGGCCTATGATTGAAGCTAATTGCTGCCCTCTGCTGGCGGGTATCCTGTAATTGTCCTGTTTTGTATAATGAGCCGACATAAAACACCTCCTGTAGACGTACACTGACCTTACATTGCACCCAAACCTGCACTTAACCAAACACAAATTATTCCTGCCCCTATGCTCATATCATTGGTGTAGACTAAGTCCCAGAAAGGCTCAAGTTAAAATGACAGAAATCACAACATCTGGCCTCACTATTTATTTTTATCACCACACAAATAGAGAGTTTGAGTCCTACACTCAGATGTCCTGTAAAGACCTAATAGAAATAAATAGGATGTGCATCGTCCTGCTGGAGAAATAATTTGGTTTTGGGAGCTCACACTAAGTGTAGACTCTCACAGCAACACAGTTTCAATGCTGCTTCATAAATTGTAAAATGTTTTAAAAGGTTTCCTTTACTTATTTTTTTATGTGAGAACTGAATGTTTTGAAGTCTTCGCGTCCATCTTTCATTTATCCATTTCTCCTCTATTAAACATAATAAAACAGTACTGTAATAGTTTTGTTTAAAAGATGTTTTACCTCCAAACAGTTGATGTACAAAGCGTAAAGCTCTGCTTTGTCCACCTCATCCACAAATCTGCTTTCTTCAACTGATGACAAATGCTGCTGCAAATATTCCTCGACTTTATCAAAGCTGAAAAACAGTTCGGTTTGTTATACACTTGATACAGCTGAGAAAAGCTTTGTAAGCTGAAAAACAGGAGCTTAAATTTGTTCAGATATTTTTTCACAACCGAGTCCATTTATGTGATTAAAGAAGTAATGCTGCCCAGCTCCTCTGCAGTGTTGCTGACAGAGCTGCCATTTACATCTGTATGTAGCTCTACTGATCTATGATTATTTAAATTCATCTGTTGAATTTTAACATTACAGTGACATGTTAAGTTTACCAACCTGAACTTCAGCAGCAGCTTGAGGATCACAGATCGCACGACTGGGTTTTTATCTGGGGACTCATCAAAAGGCGACAGATCTTTGGTGTAAATCTGTTTTTGTTCTGGTTCAAGAGAAAATTTAGAGTAAATATTAGTAATAACAAATGAAATGAAAAAAGATAAATTATTATCATTGTCTAAAAAACAACCTGCATATATGTAAAATAAAACTGTATTGAAGGTCCCCAGTAATAGACGTTTTTGAATATAATGGCTAAAGCTGTCACATGCAATTTTCAGACAAATCGAGGTTCATTAAGACAAAACAGATTTTGTTATTTCATTCTTTGATAAGGGGCTCTTCAGTAAGCAGTACCTGTCTCAACCATCAGGTAGGACAGCAGATGGTTGATGACATCTCTGGCTGGTGGTGTGTTGTCCTTGAAGCACACAGTGGAGAGCAAATCAATGAAGAAACCATTGCAGCGCCGCCGGAATTCTGTAATTTTCCCGATAGATATCCTGCGGTCATAAAAATCAAACATAAAATAAAAAATAAAAAGCAATGGCATTTCATTAGTGTTTATTAGAAAATATCCAAATGTTACAAAGCATAGCCAACTGATTCCCCAAATATATATACACAGGATATGTGTATGTACAATAGAGTGCACACATTTCTTTTATGATGAGCAGCTCATTAAACAGAGGTGCTAAGCACTGCACAGTGCAAAAACAGGCTCCTGTGCACTTAACAACAGTGGTGCTGTGACTGAAGGCCTACAATCAAGTTAATAGCTTATATCCCGTTAACAGTTGAACCCTACAAGCTCTGCAATGGCTATTCTGTAACTAATCCTGAAAAGAGTGAGTTATACCTTTGGAATGATATATGAAATATTTTAAAAAAAAAATTACCTGATATCCTCGGAGACGTTTGGCTGAAAGTTATCTGGTAACCGCTGCCTGCACCTGGGACAGGAGGTCTGTCCTGCATCAATGCTTTCCCTGATGCATGTTGAGCAGAAGATGTGATGGCATGGCAGCCCTACAGGGTCCTGAGGCTCCCTCATGCACACCGCACACTGAAATCCAAACCTAAAATAAAATAAATAAAAAATCAAACCAACACCAATTAGTGTAACTGAAGTGCAGCCAAAGAGCATTCATCACTATTTTATTCAAAATTACTGAACTGTCAAATGATCAAACTCCTACCTGAAAATCTGATCACTTGCCCCCTGCTTAGAGGACCTCAGTACTTTAATTACAGCTTGAAAAGCCTTCATTGATTTTACATCCGCATTTCCCTCCAGAACCTTAGAAATAGGTGAAAAATATTGGCCATAAATAAACCATGAGACACTAAAATTCTCCTCAGGGTAGATGAGTTAAAAAAGGACCTCCATCATATAAAAATCTTTTTGACCTATAATCAATTAAATACAGTACAGAAACAACATATTTAATGTTCAAACTATTTTTATTTTTGTTTTGCACACCATCCCAACCTGAATCAGGATTCAAGTTGCACTGCTTGTGCCTATTTTGTCAAATACATCGCTCATTAAAAATCAACTCACCCTGCTTAAGGTCTGAATGTGATTCAGGACGAGTGTTCTGAGCTGATTTTCGTCATTCTGGAGACCCAGAAGCATGTGTTCCACAAACAATGAAAGGATGTGGATGCGCTTCCAGCCATTGCTATGAAATATTACAGACAATAATCACAGTTAGTTTGTTGTGGAAATATATGCAGATTCATTTCAAGAAATGTTACATCCGTGCAAGGTTTCCCAGTAGTAGAGATGTAAGCTCCAGAGGATGGTTTAAATAAAAGTCACAAAGACTTCCTCAGCCCTGATTTTCTCATTCTGCCTCCCTGTTTCTTGCTTTACCCAAATTTTAACTTCTTACTTCCCCAGATGCCCTCAGACTGTCTCCCACCTGTCCCACTCTCTTAATTGTCTGCTCGCTTATTTCCACTTGTCCTGCAGTATATAACCAGCTGATTTCCACTCATTCCCTGACAGATTGTCACTGTTGCTTGTGCTTTCAATCTTCTGAAACCTATATCCTGTACCTGTACCTGCCTGGCTGCGCTTTTTCCCTGCGCCATTGCTGCTGTCCTGCGAATTCAATACCTCTTCTGTTGGGACTTGCCATTAAGCGCATGTATCTTCACATCTTCAATTCACACTGTTACTGTCTGCCTCACACTTGATCTGCATGTTAAACTCTGTGGGTAACCTTGCTCTGCTGCTTGAGTTAAAATCATTTTTAAGGTGTTTGCTGAGAGATGTCTGATAGACAAGTTGTAGAAGCAATCAACAAGCCCTCAGTAAGATTGAATGATTACTTTCATCTCATTTGAGGATCTAGATCCCTGCTTTACTCTCTGACCTGCTCCCTCCAGTAGTTATTTTAATAACAGTAGTTGTGAATACAGTTTTTGGGCATTTCAATAAGTTGAATGAGGCTTTATTTATTTATTAATACATCTATGCTATTTACTTTGACTCTGACATTTTCTTACCATGTCAAATACACAACCATCTAAGCACACTCACACTTATGAGCAATTTAAAACTAAGTCAGGTAACATGTTTGTGACCAGACTGTGGGAGGACACCAGAGCATCCAGACAAAACACATGCACACACATCATCTAGTATTTTACTCCCAATCCTGTACAGAGCAGCATCTTACCTGACACCAGGGAGTCTTTCTTTGCATCGCTCTCCATATTGTCTGGTGTTGTGTTGAGAGCCAATCAAATCCAAAGAGGCTTGCAGCCTCTTCACCTGCTTCAGCCACTGCTGGCAGAGCGCATCCGTATCTAAAGTAGGACGCTCCAGGCATTCAACACATGCCATGGCTGCATGGACATCCAAAACCTACAGGACAGCGAAATAGTTCGGAAGTGATTCAGTAGTTTTTGCAAAATTTGAAGGAATACTTTAACCACAAAAACCTGAGTACTTTAAATTTAACTGAAAATGAAACTCATCTAAGCTCTCTTCAAAGCCAGACTTCAATCCTAGCATTTATTTCATTATTTTAATTTTTGATTTATTTTTTTGAAAAAGCCTTTACTGAAGGTTCTGGTCTGATGTCTGTGATCAGTCATAGCACGATCCATGAATGTGCATTGAAATTACTCAATGACAAATTAAAGAAAATATAAGCATCACAGGCCTGAAGTTTGTAGGATGGATATATATTTGTTTTATTTTTGCAGTCTGAGAAGTCTCCTCAGGAAATGTGTTTACCATCTCTGGACAATCTCTATTGAGCTGCTTTCTTCGCAAAGGAGAAACAACCTCCGGATGTAGAGATATCATCCGTGAGAGGTTCTGAAGACGGCTCTGGCAGAAATGGTAGGCGATGTGGATGTCAGAGAGAGACAGCTCATTTTCATCTCTTCTCCGTGTCCGTACTTCATCCACACAGCTGGTCAGGGCCTGACACAAGAGCTGAGGAGGAAATGCACAAATAGATCAATCACACAGTATTTGTTTTTAACTACAGCAGCCTTAATGAGTAATCAGTTAATGGTAAGTTTGACTGAAGCATTTTCAAGGTTTGTCAAATCAATTTCTCTGATAACCCAAGTATTACAAAATTAGAAAAAGGAAAATGTAGGTACATCGTTAATGCTTATTTATGTTCCATGAGTTAAACTTTTTCTGCCTTCTTCTAGCCATGTGCAGCATTTAACCACAGTTGTAATGACTGGTGGTTTTGCCTGTTTAGAACTGCATTATTAGTTTAGCCCACAGAGGGCCAAATCTGCCTATTACTTATCAAAAAGCACCAGGTTAGAATTGCAGTTTGAGTGTCATTTGTACAAGTGCTTGCAAAGAACAATACTCTGCCTCAGAAAAGCAGGCATAAATGTAGCACAAATGAAATTTACCACAAGGAAGGCTGTAGTGGGGGGAAAATAAACTTGCATTAAAAATGAATGGTTTGTAATTAACAAAAAAAACCCACAGCATTAATGAGCATAATATCTGATTGCTATTGCAACGTATACAATACACATACACTTTGTTTACCCTCACCTTTAATTCTTCATCTGATGCCACTTTCATCGTCATGGAAACAAAATCCTGCAGGTAGCGCTGGAAGAATTCTTTCTTCATTTTTTTATTCACATTATTAGCAATGTAACTGCCAAGTGGAGTGTTCAAGAACACCTCCTGGAATTGACGAGGTGAATGAGCTGCAAAGAACAGTTAAGAATTTCACTAATAAGTTGGGGTTTAATCCGTCAGTTACAAAGCATGGTTTTTGGATATGTTATTTATACAGGAAGATATTTACTTTCATGTCTGGATGTCTGAATCATGAGCCCATCCAGGAAGTCTTTGATCCACCAGCTGAAGGGCATGACGCAGCGCATGATGTGGCCACCTGTGCTATGGCTTTGTACCATTAAGACACCAGAGCTGAAAGAGAAGCAGGTAGTAAATATTAGGCTATGAATGCATTTTTGCCAGACAGAGGAATCACATTATTTATTTTTTAGGCAGACTAACTTCTAGCTGGTGCTGTAATTCACTTGAATTTACTTGCATATTTTCTTGAGTCAGAAAGCAAACCATACAAAACCAGCAGATGGCAAAACTGGGTTTTTTTTACAATTATTTTTCTTTAAAAAATAAAAATAAAAAAATTATATATACATATATATATATATATATATATACATACATACATATACATATATATATGTAGAATTACAGCCTTGGGGTCGTATGCCTCTGGGAAAAGTTAAGTTGTGTTTGCTTGTGTTTATCCTATTAGACATTTGAGCAAAACTTAGTCATAACTAGTGTATGAATTCTTGAGTTCTGACCAAAAACATGTTTTTTGTGGTCAAAGTGACCTTGACCTTTGACCACCAAATTCTAATCAGTTCATTCTTGAGTCCAGGTGGATGTCTGTGCTACTTTGAGGAAATTCCATCAAGGCCTTCTTGAGATATCATGTTCACAAGTATGAGACAAACGCAAGGTCACAGTGACCTTCATCTTTTGACCAAATTCTAATCAGTTTATCTTTGAGTCCAAGTAGACGTTTGTGCCAACGTTAAAAAAAATTCCCTTGGGGTATGCTTAAGATATCATGTTCGCTAGAATGAGACAGACAAGGTTAGAGTGACCTTGCCTTTGACCACCAGATTTTAATCAGTTCATTCTTGAGTCCAAGTGAACATTCCTGCTAAATTTAAAGAAATTTCCTAACAGTGTTCTTGAGAAATGCGACAAATGGGATCACAGTGACTTTGACTTTTGACCACCAACTTCTTATCAGTTTATCTTTCAGTCAAAGTGGACATTTGTGCCAAAGTTGAAGAAATTCCCTCAGGGTATTCTTAAGGTTTCACATTCACAAGAATGAGACACAAGTTAGAATGACCTTGGTCACTGACCACCGAGTTTTGATCAGTTCAAGCGGATGTTTGTGCCAAATTTGAAGAAATTCCCTCAAGGATTTCTTGAAATATTGCGTTCATGGGAATAGGACAGAGGCATTAAAAAAACTAGATAAAAAACAGACTAAACAACATCAGTGGTATATTGTCAATAGTATTTTCAACATTCAGACCAAAGATGTAATTCAATCTGAAATCAAAGCATTTGTGCTGAACAGATACCGTGATCATACAACCAAGAGATACTCACTTGCTTTCCACCCTTACGTAAGGTACATGGAGCATCTCCTTGCTCCCAAATATCTCAAGCCATAGGTTCCTGATGTCATTGCACTCATTCAGCAGAAGGTCCAAATTGCAATCTCGATCAATGACTGACACCAAGTTGGCTAGAAGTGGAGTAACAACTGCTTGGATTTTCCTCCACAGTGTGTGTCTGTGAGAAATATTGATGACTGTCTTAAAATCAGTCTGACATTTGCATATGTATTTAAAAAAGTGATAAACTGACAGTGATAAATAGCTGAATATCTTGTTTCGCTGAAGTTTGCAATAAATGATGAATAAATGACAGCTGAAGATTGGATAGACAGACAGACAGATAGACAGATAGACAGATAGATAGATAGATAGATAGATAGATTAGGTAACTGCGAGGGACCTACAGGAACGTTCCCCCCTCTTGAAGAGCGCTGATATTGGATGCCTCCTTGAGAACCCAGCCCTTTGGATTAGGGGTGTCAGCCTCATAGTTCTCTAACAGTGAGTGGAGCCGCTTCCTCACAATGTTTGTAAACAGACCTTAAAAACAAAATTAATTTAGAAAAGCTCTTTTGTTTCAGTAAGGCAAATTTTGAAAAACATCTTGACCTTATAAATTTTCACTGCGCACAGAGTAGGCATGTATAACGATGGCCCGTTATCAAATATGACCCAGAATGAAACTTAATTTTTAACCTGGTGTCTGATCTTCATCCAGAAGTGTGAGCAGGTTCTCAACTCTGTTAGTGCTGAGTTCTCCACCGTCTGCCGCATCTCTGAGCATGCTCACTGCACTCTGCACACAGCTCCTTATCAGATCTGTTATATCAAACAAATCTCCCAAAACCTGCAAAAATATTCAAAAAATAAACAATGAACAATGGCAGCCCAGCATTTGAAAAAAACCTTGACAAAAATAAAAATCCTGGAAGTAAATCCTCCAGCAAAGTTCAAAAGCCCTGGCGATGATGCCGCACTTTTGTCATACTATGGTAAAAACTGTGAAATCATGGTGAAACCATGAATTTTATGCCAAACCATGTAACAGTCTCAGCTGTGCATGGATTCTTCCCATTTTTTATCTCAGTATACCTCCTGACAATTACTTCTAGAAGAGTTCAGCTTGAGATCTTTATTATAACTCTCAAAGCCCTTCCCGACTGGTACCAGGTTACATCACTGATCTCATCTAAACTGTATAATATATTCTATATCAAGTGTTTGATATAGACTTTACAGACCTAGCTCTCTTAAATTACTTGTTATGCTGGGTATGTCTTGTGTCACCAGTTAAAAAATACTGCACAAATAGATGAAAGCAGGGGAAAACTAGAGACCATCTTGCAATGGGATCACTCCAGCCACCATGCAGCAATCCACAACTTAAAAAAATTGGGCCATGGCCATAAAATGAGGGAAGGTAAGGGTAAGGCAGACATATAAACACCTGGCAACATACTCAGAATGGCCTCTGTGGTTGTTCCCGTGACAACATGGGCCACCAGGATCACATTTTGCCATGATGACACACAAACTCACAAGGTGAAAACAACATCAGCCTTCGCAACATTGTCACAGCTGGTCTAAATTGGCAGCAAATGTTAAACTGCTCCAGTTGGTTAGTACATGACCATGGAGAAAATACAATCATTAACTGAATTTTGGTCATGTGGCCTGACTCAGCATCAGCATCATCTTGTTCTTCCAGGTTTATAAATAAAGGTGATAAATTACACTTACAGCGGAGTCATCATTTTGTGGCACACCATTGTGGTCCTCTGTTTCCATGGCTTAGACATAAAGAAAATTAGAGGTGAATTTATTGTCTCACTTAAAATATATATCAAAATGATTTTTGATAAATTTCCCTCAGGTGGAGTATTTTCATAGACTTAAAATATATATATAAAATGACTGATGATGAATTACCCTCTGGTGGATCTTTAAAAAGTTCACTGATGCGTCGTTTTTTCAAGGAATGAACATCAGACACAAACTCTTTTGATCTTCTCAGATCATCAATGTGAACAGACCTCCACAGACCTGAAAATAAATAAATAATAATAATTTTTTTTTTTTTTTTAAAAATCAGATTAATGAAAACACAATATGTACGTTTTACTTGTTAGTTAAATTGTCTGTTCTTTCTATTTATTTGACTGATTTGATTTTGTGACCATTTTGCCAATTTTACTACTTGTGTTGATACATGGGTGACAGCAGGACTAACCTCCTTGAAACCCAACAAAGGAGGTCCCACCCTCGATTCGAGGAAGTTTGGTGATAAAGTACACAAATGCCTTTGTGTCATCAGTAGTGGCCCACTTATTTATTTCGTTGATGCATGAATACCTGAGAAATCAACACATTAAGTATTAGTTAAAGAATAAAAAAGACAACAAATGTGATCTTTTGCAATAACGTTAGAGATGTAAAATAAAGTAAGATAATGTGGTCTTCACACTCACTTGGCTGAGGAAAGAATGTTCCTCCTGTGGGAGTCTTCATCATGGTCTGTTTGGATGATCAGCACTTTGTTTGCAGGTGTTGAGCCAAGGAATTCCCTAATACCAAGACACAGACATGAATTACATTTGAATAGACAGTGACCACTTGACAGTTGTATGGAGGCCCATATATTGTATTTTCTCGGTAAATGCACAATATTATCAGTTTTATAAATGTCAAATAATTGACAAATCCCCCCCCCCCCCCCAAAAAAAAACAGGCACAAGTACGTGTGGAAAAGGCCACCACTTAGTTAGAAATTAGCTAGAAATTAGCAGCTGTGACATGCTATTTATACTATATTTACACACCTGATTTTCTTGAGGAACGAATACTCCGTGTCAAACTGCTGCAGAGATAGTAGCTTGATATCATCAAGCTTTATCACATTCTGCAGTTGTTGGGTGTCTGCTGCAGTCAGCAGCCTGGAAAATGTTGTGACCTTAAAACAGCCAAAAGAACTGAGAATTACAAAATGTCAAGCAATTCATTTTTCATTTGCCACTGCTAACAGAAAAGGCCTCCCACATATAAACTACTACAGTATATTGTTTTGTGTCATCAGTTTGGTATTATTTATCATAAACACCAATCAGCCAGAACATTAGAACAACTGGCAGGTAAGGTGAAATGATCAATGCTGTCATTGATCGTTTTGGTACAGTGCCCCCCAGCAGGACAATGCACCATGCCACACCATAAAAACTGCTTAAGAGGAATGTGACGAAGAGCTCAAGGCGATGACCTGGCCTCTAACTTCCCAAGATTCCAATCTGATCAAGCTTCTCAAAATGTCTGTAGAGGAGCGCTTCCAGGACTCAAATTGTTTGCTTGAGGTGCTCTTTGGATGGGATGATTATATATAGCAAAACTCAGGAAACTCCAAGGCACTCTCTTTCAAAAAATTAAACAGCCTTTATTGTTATGGCTTGGTCATCTTAAACCTTTAAAAACTCTGACGCGTTTCGGCATACAAGCCTTCGTCAGGGAGTCAAAAAACGACTCCCTGACTCCCTGACGAAGGCTTGTATGCCGAATCTTAAACCTTTAAAAACTGTGACGTGTTTCGGCATACAAGCCTTCGTCAGGGAGTCAAAAAACGACTCCCTGACTCCCTGACGAAGGCTTGTATGCCGAAACTCAAAGGACCTGCTGCTAATGCCATGGAGTTAGACACCACAGGACACCCCCAGAGGTCCTGTGCTGATGCCTTGACAGGTTAGAGCCATGTTTGATCCAAGGAAGCCAAGGATCGGTGGTACCTCTGGGGTACCATGTATGTCCCACAAATGCTTTTTAAGACTGGGATCTGGTGAATTTGGAGGACAGGTCTATGCCTTGAGCTCTTTATCATGTTCCTCGGACCACTCCTGAGCAGTTTTTATGGTCAAGCAGGATGCATTGTCCTGCTGAGGGAGGGGCACTGCCATCGGTGAGTGCCGTTGCTAAGAGGGGGGCTACTTGGTCTGTAAGGTGTTAAGGTGGGTAGACTGCATCAAGTGGCATCCACTGGAATGGCAGGACCTAAGGTATTGCAGCAGAACGTTGCATTGGAACAAGATGATGAATGGCATTCACTTCACCAGTCAGTGGTTTTAATGTTTTGGCTGATTGGTGTACATATTGCAATAATTTATACACAGTCAGGTCCATAACTATTTGGACAATGATACAGTTGTCATCATTTTGGCTCTGTACACCACCACAATGGGTTTTAAATGAAACAATGAATACCTGCTTAAAGTGCAGACTCTCAGCTTTCATTTAAGGCTTTTTTCAAAAATGTAGTATGAACCGTGTAGGAATGACAACCATTTCTTCACACAGTCCCCCAACTTTAAGGGCTCATAAGTATTTGGACAAACTAACATAATCATCAATTAAACAGTCAGTTTTAATACTTGGTTGCAAATCCTTTACAGTCAATGACTGCCTGAAGTGTTGGACACATAGGCATCATCAGATGCTGGGTTTCTTCCCTGGTGATGCTCTGCCAGCCCTTTACTGCAGCCGTCTGCACTTCCTGCTTGTGTTTTGGGTGTTTTGCCCTCAGTTTTGGCTTCAGCAAGAGAAACGCATGCTCAGTTGGATTCAGGTCAGATGATATGACTTGGCCATTGCAGAACATTCCACTTCTTTGCCTTAAAAATGTCTTTGGTTGCTTTTGCAGTATGCTACAGGTCAATGTCCATCTGCACTGTGAAGCATTGTCCAATGAGTTTTGAAGCATTTGGTTGAATCTGAGCAGATAATGTAGCCCCAAACACTTCAGAATTCATCCTGATGCTCTTCTCAGCAGTCACATCATCAATAAATACAAGAGAACCAGTTCCACTGGCAGCCATACATGGCCATGACATAACAGTACCTCCACCATGCTTCACTGATGAGGTGGTGTGCTTTGGATCATGAGCAGTTCCTTCCCTTCTTCCTTCTCTTGTCTTCCCATCATTCTGGTAGTTGATCTTTGTTTTATCTGTCCATAGTATGCTGTTCCACAACTGTACAGGCTTTTTAGATGGTTTTTGACAAACTCTAATATGGCCTTCCATTTTTAAGGCTAACCAATGGTTTGCATCTTGTGATAAACCCTCTGTATTTATTCTAGTGAAGTCTTGTCTTGCTTACAAGAGCAGCAGGATGAAAGCTGAAGTGTTTGGGGCACCATTATCTGCTCAGATTCAATTAAATGCTTCAAAACTCATTGGACGATGCTTCACAGTGCAGATGGACATTGACCTGAAGCATATTGCAAAAGCAACCAAAGACATTTTTAAGGCAAAGAAGTGGAATGTTCTGCAATGGCCAAGTCATATCATCTGACCTGAATCCAACTGAGCATGCGTTTCTCTTGCTGAAGCCAAAACTGAGGGCAAAACACCCAAAACACAAGCAGGAAGTGCAGACGGCTGCAGTAAAGGGCTGGCAGAGCATCACCAGGGAAGAAACCCAGCATCTGATGATGCCTATGTGTCCAACACTTCAGGCAGTCATTGACTGTAAAGGATTTGCAACCAAGTATTAAAACTGACTGTTTAATTGATGATTATGTTAGTTTGTCCAAATACTTATGAGCCCTTAATGTTGGGGGACTGTGTGAAGAAATGGTTGTAATTCCTACACGGTTCATACTACATTTTTGAAAAAAGCCTTAAATGAAAGCTGAGAGTCTGCACTTTAAGCAGGTATTCATTGTTTCATTTAAAACCCATTGTGGTGGTGTACAGAGCCAAAATGATAACAACTGTATCATTGTCCAAATAATTATGGACCTGACTGTATATAATTTGTCTTATGTCAATTAAACATGTCACAGTGTTGTGTGTGGACTGTTTCCTGTAACATTTAATGGAACAGTAAAAAAATTACCTCAGTGAAGAAGACGCGGGACTGTTCCAGTTGCCTTGTGTGATAGACAATGTAGTCTCCCAGTGAACTGTGCATCTCATCTTGGACGTATTTTTCCATTAAATGTACTCTTTCGTCATCAGGCAGCCTGGATTTGTCCAAACGAACAACCGAGTCAGGAGTGGCACAGTTGAGCAGAATGTCTTTGGCTTTGTGCAGCATGGTCTGAGCATCTGTTTCAGCACCTTCATTCTCTGTTACTTGCAGGACCACAGAGGAACAGGTGTCTGAGTGGTAGCCAATGAAGACATCACTTGGAACATATTGCTTTTGCATGGAGTGTTGACTACTTAGGGAGACAAAATCGTCAACCCATTCCTGAAGTTGTCTGGCAATGTCCTTCTGGTCATCACTGAGAACAGTGTTGATGTCAAGGTAGTGTTTCTCCAACCTGTTGATCAGTGGGATTGGAAATTGCTCATAGACCACCTCTTTCTCTTCAATGACGATGAGCCTGAAGTTTTTGTGAACTCTGCATTTCACACGATGTGTTCCTAATCCAAGATCAACATACTTTTGACCCCCCAAAGTCACATAGTATTGGTTGAGAGCATCATACAGACTTTCATACAGATTCTGAAGGTTCAGAAGCACAACTGTTTGTCCAGTCTCCATGCAAACCTTGACGCGATTGATGTTCCTACAAATCTGTGTGTACTCCTGATCCTTTGGGAAACTAGACCCAAAGATGATTTCTGGATGGATGTTGTGAAGTGAGAATATCTGTTGGAGAATCTGAAGAGCTGCGTAGTTCTTTGTGAGGATCAACAGGTAACGACTTTCGTCTCCTTGGCAAGTTGTAGAGATACTTTTCTTGACCAAATCAATGGTGGTGAGGTTGGCATTGGCAAAGTCATCTCTGAGTTCCTCGCTGAATATGCCCATCACATTCACATCATCTTTTCCACTGAAGTTTCTCAGGACTGCTCCAGTGATTTGCTCTGCGGAGGGTCTCTTATTACCTGATTTGGTAATTGAAAATATCATCTTGATCAGACTGTAGAAATCCCGCAGACCAAAAAAGCCCCTGCCTTCTTTGCATACTCTCATATATGCCTTTGCAAAAGGCTCAAAGAGGTGTTCGATCTTTTTACGAACCATTTCTTCAGACGAGCATATCCCTTTAGCACTTTTGATGAGCTCTTTCTCATTTGGATCTCCACGGGACACAAATATTCCACGATTCATCTTGGCAGGGTCCAGTGCCCAGTTGGAAATTCCAATGAACCCAACCCTTTTATGAGGTTCTGGCTCATCATCGACACAGCCCTCTTCCAGTAGTGGGTGCAGTGTTTTCAGTGGCATTTTAGGGGAATCTTCAGCCAATCCAATCTCATCAAGAACAACTACTGAAATATATTCATCCAAGTTTTTGCTTTCCTGAAAGCGGGCACACTGTTTGAATGTGTTAATGATTCCTTCAGGAGTTGAATGAGGGCTGCACTGGAAAGACACCAGATGTATCTGCTTCAGCCTCTTGTAGAGCTCAGAATGAGAGGAAGGGCCCTGCATCGCATCTGCAATTAGGGTTTTGGACAGTGATTTGGAGCTCCCTGGTTTCCCAACGATAAACAGGGGAATTCTTAGTTCAACACAGATCACCATCATGAAGAAGTTTTCTTTCAAAGCCTCATTTCTGGCTATTGTCTTCCCCATGGGTACACCGTTGAGTAGGAGGTCCTGCATGAGATTGATTTCCTGCTGTACTCTCTTTGTGTTGTATTCACGAGGAAGCAACGGGCTGATGGTTTTCTGATATGGCGTTTTGTCCTCCAAGCAGGACTGATAGCACACTCCAGTGGCCATCAAGAGTGACCAAATTACTCTGTCATGAGCAGGTGAAAACGATGACATCTTTGTGTTTTTTTTCTGAGATGCATCTTGAAGGAATACTGTCAGCTGCGCAGCAAACATGGAGTGATTTTTGTGAAACCACACAAACACATGCATGCAACGCTCAACATCCCTCAAACTGACAAAGCTGCATTCATCTTTCCTCTCCCTCATGAACTTTTGTGATGACGACAGCACTTGAGTTATAGTTGGAATATAACTACTTGCAATTGAGTTGGCATTTGCCTCTCTTTGCACTATTTGTTTGATGTACATTCTCTCTGCTGTGTCACTGAGCTGCCCAAAGTCCCAAACAAGAGGAATCATGCTGGGGGGTAACGCATGTACACGATACACAAGCTGGCGGAGAGGGATTGAGCCAAGCCTTTCTTCAGTCTCCTCAGCCCTGACCCGGTAGCCCAATCCAGATGTCTCCAACCTTTCAATCATCTTGTCTGTATGCTTTCGGTAGGGGTTGCATGCAGCAACAATCTGTAGTCCTGTTTGAGAGCCAAGTTGTTGTCCCTGCACAGAGTTATCACAAAGTATCTCCTTGATGCTGCTGATGGCTTCTGTGGTGTTTGCCTCATCAAAGAAAAGAACAGAGTAAAATTCATGATTCTCTTTATTGGTCCTTGCAAGATGTTCAGCTTCCCTCACTTTCTCATATATCATTGCTGATGTTGTTCCTCCATGGACCTTGACCAGTTTCATGTTTTCTGTGGGTGCTCCACACCTTCTCAACTCACACATAAACTTGATGAGCCTCGTCTTACCACATCCTGTTTCACCCATTATGATGACTGGGATGCCGCACCTAAATCTCATATGGATTGCCATCATTTTGAGAATATTATCGGTGGTCAGCTCATATGTTTCATCAGGATCTGTTGGCCACTTGATGCCAAGCACACTGCACAGATGCTCAATCTTGTCAGCTCGAGGAAGCTGATCAAAGTTCCTATTAAAAGGGACTCTCTGATGTCTTAAGCCAGTGTACAGCTCCTGAGTCATGATGTTACTCTCTATCACCTCTCCTGTCAAGGGATTTATGGCATCAACCCCCCTCTGGTTATTGGGCTTCAGGTGAAACCCAATGAAAGTCATGGATATTCGGTCATCATTAAAAAAGATGTATGGATGTGGCTTGGATTCCCACCTTTTTCTGATGAGGAATGGGGCCAAGTCTCTTTCATTAAGCCCACTGATGTCAACTTGTTGTCTCCCTGGGCTCTGGTCAGTGATGTTTAGTGAGGGGGTTGCAAAGTCTTTGGACATCAGGATCATGAACTTAACAACAAAGTTTTTGAACCCTTGAAGAGTGTCTCCAACCAACTCAAATTTGCAGAAGACTGAATTTTCACAGTCTTGCAACTGAAGATTAAGGAACCAGACAAAGTTACGTAGCTCTGCCCAAGATGGATCGAGAACGCCACAGTAGAATAAGAATATCTGAAGACACTTTGCATGAGTCCCTTCAGTGCCCTGGTAAGTAAAGTTGTCAAGATTGGTATTGTTGTAAAAACGCGTGAGGTACTGGTATGGCCTTTGATAAGCTTCACTCCTGAAACATTCGTCATCCATGAGAGGGTCGTCACTCTCCAAGTCAGGGTTTTCCTCTTTCCTCATTTCCAAAGTCATAACATCCTTTGGTGCACGACAAAGTACCTTTGGAAAAACATCTGAGAAGGCAAAGTTTTCCTTTTGTCCCTAAAAATATAGAAATAAATATATGCAAGTTTATAATCAATTCAGCCTGTCCTCTTATTCTAAAATCTTAAGAAATTTTAATTCACTAAATAGTTATATCTAAATCTCTTTCTATCTACTAATTGCAATCACCATCAATTATCCCTGTCCTGATAGCACTTAACACAATATGCTAGATGTGGTTGCACTTGGGGTATCACCATTTCATTTCCATCTCAATCGCTAAAATCAAAAGCAGGATTGGAGACATCAAAATCAAAATTTGAATCGAACTGTGAATCTAAAATCGAAAGTCTAAACAAATGGTGAATTTGGTGAATCATGACTCCCCTAGTATCTCATTGTGTAGAACCACAAATCACATTAAGTTATTTGAGGGTCTTTTATCAAAACATTTCAAGGAGGGGTGGATGGACAAGGATACAACGATGATATCCATAATAATAAAAGGAAATCAATACAAATGTGTGGTATGACCAAACACAAACAGTAAATCTCAACTTACAGATCTGGGCTGAGTATTTGTGGATTCTAGTAACTCGACGATGTACAAGTGTTTGTGGCTGCAGCGCCACATCTGTCCATCTGAATCCATCAGGTACCGCAAAAAGAAAAGCTTGAATAGGAATTCATTCAAGCCTTTTTGCACCTGGGTATTAAAAATTGTATAAATAGAAAAAAGTCTTAATAGTATTGGATAAAGCAAATTTTGAACATCTCTAATATTCTCTGAGAACCACATTGTTCAAAAACTCAAATAACTTTTATTATCATGGTGATGTAAATATTGCTTACCGAGGATGTGACATCAAAGTGAAACACCTTGAGGTCTTTTTGCTTTGGTGTGTCATACAAAGACTGAAGAACCTTGTGGTCATCAATCTCATGTTCGGTTAGTCGGATGCACTTCTTAAATGCAGTTCCTTGTTCAACACTTCCCTCCAGCTTTTCATACAATCTTTGGACATACAATGACTTGCCTAAAATGGTAGAATAACCAGAAATCATTTGGTTGACTGAAATCATGGCATCAACAACAATGATCACTCATTAATAACTGAGTAGAATATGCTATAGATCTCTGTCTCTAGGAAGCAAGAATTTAATTCCCATAAATCACAAAACAGGATCAGTTTGATTCTGCACCTTGTTTTCTATAATTAAAAATGTATAACTGATTTCAGTCCAATGATCTTATAGACTTATAAGGTCATTTTCAAAATCACATAATCCAAACCTGAGAATGCTGATATTTATCTAGAGACAAGCATTATTCAATACAACAACTGGTTTAACAAAATGCAGTAACATTTCCCATACAACTCGAAGCCTGTTTTCAAATGGCACACCAAAAAGTATTCCCATGTCTCATGTTCCCGAATATGTGACAAAAAAACTGCAAATTGTCTGGATATCCAGCAGACAACTTTGCCAAATGCACAGATTAAGACTTACGGAATTAAACACATGAATCTGCATATGGATTTAAAGATTTGGATGTCACTTCAAGATATATAAGCAAGTGATCTCTCTCAAGTTCAAATTCTCAATATTTACCATATAATGCATAGCTATAGAAATTGCTGTTATTTCTGTAGTTGGTTTTGTTGATGGGCTATCTGCATAACTACTTTACATATTTCTGACACAGAGAGTAAATTAGTGATATGAGGAGAAAGACCTACTGTACAGGTAATACCCACCTACTCCTGCACGTTGGGAACTAACAATGCCAACAGAATGGCCACCTTTGAACACAGCATTCTTGTGATCTGAGGGGACGGTGTAATGCCTGGACAAGTACCTCTGAATCCTTTTCAATGACTCTTGTGGCACAAAGTCTCTTTTGAACTGACTGAATGCAGTAGGAATGTAAGTGTGCTCCCTGTCAGAACTGCAAAAGATCACTAGCCTGTAATCATGTTTAAACAATGACCGCAGTTTTTGAAAACACTTTTCCATTGCACAGCTAACATCATAGGTTAGTTGGTCCGCCCAAAGCATTGTGTAAATCTTCTGGCCGATGTCACCTGGTGTGAGGCATCTCCTCAGGAAAAGCTCTACCTGCTCGTAGGATGTTGCAGGGGTACACAAGAGGACCTCATCATAACTTGGCAGTGGCTGATAGTCACTGGTCATGTACAAGCAGATACTTGAAGTCAGGACCTCATCTTGTGGACAGATTATGAGATTAGGTTGGTTTGGGTTAAGGCCTTTTGGGAGACTTCTTCTAAGAGAATCATCTTTTGACTCTGAGAGCACTGGTTCTTCCCATTCATTTTCAGTTTCGTTTTCTGTGACAGTCATCATTTTCAACAGATCCCCTAAACTCCTAACATCCAAAAGGTCATGGAAAAATATTCCCTCATTCTTGATGTAGCCATTCCACAACTCTTCCAGTTCTTTCAGACCAACAGTCTCGTCTGCCTTGTGTGCTGGATCATCGACTATAAAATGACTCTCATTGGCTGAAGACATGTTGCTGTCTTCCTGGTGAAGAAAGTGACTTCGAAAGTCAATATCTCCATTTATCCTTTTTCCAGGATCAAATTGGTTGTGAAACCTTCTCCATGCGCTCCAGACATCTGATGTTGTGCAATTTGGTTTGATGAAAGTGAGCATCATTAAAGCTTTGTCCTCTATATCTGCATTCACATTTGTCGGAGTCACAACAGTGCACAGGTAGAATATTTGTTCTGCTGTGAAGTAGTTAAGGTAATAGTGATCAGACCTCTGTTTGTCCATGAAGTTTCGCCAGTCATCAAGAAACAACTCCATCTTCTCGGACAGTGCTGTAAGTTGTTCAACTAGACTTCCGCATATCTGGATGCGCTGCTGGATCTTGCAAAAGTTGATGTCCATAATGATACATGGGTCACTCTGAGGTTTGCAATAAATCTTTGCTTCCCAACACCTGAATAGTGGGTTTCCTGCAGCATAGAGGTCTACAAATACTTTGGCAAGTCTTTGGACATTGTCAAACACCTAAATATGAAGAGAGAAAAAATTAGACTACAGGCAATGTACAAAACATAGATCATTCTTTTAAACATGAATTTACAGGAAAGCAGGCTTAAACTATACTGTTTTTTTGTAAGAGAACTATAAATCTCTTATCACGAAGATATACAATTAATATACACCTCAGCAAAATGTTCCACTTCACTCTGTTTTTGTTCCCCTCTTCCAGACATGAGCATAAGCTTATTTTGCAACTCTTTCAGGTCCTCATAGGTGTATGTCATGTTTTTCTCATGTCCATCCTGAATTTGCAACATCAGGGAAGTCTCTAAAGCAAGCTGTAGAGGGAGAAATCAATATGACATGGACTACATTAGCGTACATGTTTCACATAACATAAACAAGACAATAAAATACATTTTAATTTTGTTGATTCATATTTACATTATAACTGTTAAAAATTGTTAGGTTTCTGTACAATATATTGTTATGTTTTTTGGTGTGTTTTGTTTTGTGTGTGTGTGTGTGTGTGTGTGTGTTTCTTTCAAATTAAAGCATTATTTCACAGTCAATTTAGTGTACCTTTTTCTGGTTTTGGCCCTTGATGGTGTATATTCCTCTCTCATTGATGGATGTAGCCAGCGACAGGGATGAAAATTCAACAGATCCATGGCTTTCCTTAACAGTCTTTAACCATTCCAGATGACGTGCTGTATCCCACTGAAACAGACACCAAACAAAAAAGAATCTGAATGTAATTACAAAGTAAACTAAAAATGATCAAATTTTTTGTGCTCTATGAATAGCATTTATAGAAATGTATGAAACCGGATAAATAAGACTCAGCATACATAGCAAACTAGGTAGATAGGACGCCTTAGAGGATACTGCTTTTCCCAAAAAAATTGTATTAAATGTTGAATGTGCACTAATTATTGTTATTTCATATTTCATTTGACTGTAATTCCTATTCATTAAGATAAAGTTTTACTGGCCAACCTAATTGCTGATATTTGTGAAAGAAGACACACTAGAAACTAGAAACTAAAATCTAGAAACTACTTAACAAGACCTCTGAAGCACTCACCACACTGATGCTAGTGGTTTTCGAGTGTAACCTTATCATTTACTTTTTTGGAGAGCTACTTCCTGTTTTAACCTTGACCTACCAAACTCTTTATAGTTGTCCATGTTCTGATATAGGATATAGCTGATTAATCAATCTTTATTTTTCACTTTCAAATACTTTGGTTTAGATAATACGACAGCAAAGACCCAGTTCTGACCGAAGACTCGCGACAAGACTGTTTAAAAACTTTACAGGGAAAAGCTGCAGCACTGTAATCTGGCCCCACTCAGCTCAGCTCAAGTCGGTTGATAGACGCTCTGCAACTTAAGGCACATCCTCTGTTTCATCTGTCCCCTGTATCTATGGGCTCTAGCTCGCCTGTTGTCAAGAAGTGCAGAGTTATTATCAGCTGTTCCCCCGCTGAAACGCTCTCTAGATAGTAATTTCTCTGCTGATTAGAGATGCCACTTACTCCTCTAACCAATGAAACTGGTCTAGGAATAGATGTGAGAAATTGCCAAAAGACGGGACATCTTCTGTCCCAAATTCATGGCATAAATTTGCATAAATCCCCTTGGTATTCCATTGAAGCATCCGTGGATGGCTCCAAAATCTCTAACCTCTTTTTTTTTTTATGTCTGTGCCATTTAAAGAAAAAAAAAAAAAAAAGCCTGAAAAGCTGTAAGGTAGGTTGGAAGTACAAAGAGTCGTTTTGATGGAGACAATACACCATCTCGTTTAGTTGCATTGGTGTAAACTGGCAGGTTTCAGAACATTGTAAACCGGCGCATTGCAAGTAGTTGGACGTTTTAACACATCATCTCATGAATCTTTGGTCTAAACTGGTCATTTTTGACAGCATGTTAAAATTTAGTGGTTCTCATTTAGTTATAGTGGCAGTAATGGTGGTAATATAAAGGGTGGAATCTCACCAGCTTCGTTGGTATCTCTTTGTCATTTTCAAATGCCTTCCACAATTTTGACAATGCCTCTTTGAAGGCCTCAAAGTCAGAGTCCTCCTTCAGTCCATACAACATGGAAGAGTAACCGAGAACAGCGTCATGAAAACAGGCCACTCGATCCACATCCAGGTCATTTTCTCCAGCAGAGATGGTTGCCAGGTCAACAAAAACTTTCAGCTCACTGATATCTGCAATTACAAATTTCCTGAAGCTGACACAAATCGTTGTGTTTAACACTTGATAACAAATAATGGTATCTACTGTACCTTTAAGTTCTTCTTTAACCCATAGGACAAACTCTCCGCTCTGACTGAGCTTCTGAAGACATTCCCTGCGATCCTTCGTAATGTCCATCAGAATCGTTTTGGCCTTTATGAAGGTATCATCTATGTAATTCAGGTTGTTTTTCTTGAAGTTAGCTTGATTCTGAAAAAAAATGAATGTACAGTATGAAGTCACTGGGTTTATGATTCATGATTCCAGTTTAGATGGCACTATAACAGCCCAATTGACAACAGTTTATGACTACACGAAGTTCAATCTTGTAAAACTCTAATCTTAATGATATAGGACAGTGAGTGATGTACTCATCAAAGCTTATTATTTCAATCTTCATTTCACATTTCAATCTACACAACAACGAATGTGTACAGTGGAATAGCTAATTACTAACTGACCCCAATGTACTTCAGTATGTCTACAATCGTGCATGTAGAAAATATATATTTTACAGCTGAATACAACTACATCTCCCTCTATATCCACCAAGAGTATTCCATCCTTATGAATGATGCCATGTCAGTAGGTCTGCTGCTAATGTCTTACAGGTAAAGGCATTTCTGTAAAACACCTTTTTAAAGGAGAGATCTGGTCTTCCGAACTTTAGGAAGAGCAGCAAATTGTTAGGAAACGTACCATTTGCAGCAATTTCTCCAATGCTTTAAAGTCTCCATCTGGACATATTGTTTTCCTGATATCCTCAATGATTTTGGCAGATTCCATTGCAAGATGAAGATCATGGTACTGTTGAATCTGCTGAATCCTCCTTGTGATCCATCTTCTGTTGTCAGATGGATTTGTTCTGCACATGATGTACAAATCTGTCCGCAAGTCTTCGTACTTTCCCTTATAGTCCTCAAAGAGGCTGTCTATTTCCTCCAGTAACAGTTCCCCACTCTTCAGACCATCATAAAGCTCTCTGTACTTGCTGTAGCAGTTTTGGAATATTCGACTGTAGACCAGGTCGAGAGTGTAGATTTCTTCATTGACACCATGATGTTCAGTGTCATCTGTATCTGTATCAGGTTCGCCTCTTGACAACTCTTCCACTTGATTCATCCAGCACATTTTGAAGATTGAGCTTTCTTTAATGGCATGGAGTTCTGAAGCCATCTGACGGGTCTTATCACAAAGGTTGAAATAAGTGACCTGCCCAGCTGTCGGAGAGGTCTGTCCATAAAGAGTGTGAACCTTCATGAATTCACTCAGATTCATCATCTCAATGTCCTGATTCAGTTTTTTGTCCAACCCATTGAAGTCAACTGTGGATTAAAAATATATTATTAAAGATGGTCTTTTCATAAAACTAGGCAGTCTATGCAGTAACAAGACACAATCACTTTCTGAAATTGGTGCTACATGATCAAAGAAAAGAGGGGAAAAAGGCTGTGGCAATTGCTTTTGCTCAGTAAGTAGAAAAACTACCTAAATGCAATGTGTTGCACTGCAGCAATAAATGCTCCCACTGGTAAGGGACATAATGCAAGCTCGTCTGTTTGACCCACTGGCGGCCGGCTGGTAACAAATGATCTTGTATTACAGTTTAACAGTAAGCTTAAACATGTTTCTGAAGACATTTGAGGTGAGAAATAGGCAAAGCAGTAACAGAATCATGGTTCTAAAATAAGCTTGAATTTTAAACATTTTTTCTCTCAGTGTGCCAGGGCTGCCTACCTTTGACATGTTGTGGAAGCTCCTGACAGATTTGAAGAAGACCCTTGACCAACTCCTTCTCACGATGGACAGCTTCTGCTTCTTCTTTTCTTAGTTTCAGTAATTCTCTCATACTGTCATCTCTACATCGACCATCATCACAGAGGCCATCTAAAGGAAATTATAGAGGAAATTACAGATTAACAGTAGCACAACAGTAGACTTACAACTGTGAGCCTCAACAAAGAGTAACAACCACTGGACCTGTTAAATATCCCCATATTGATGTATGTACAAACACACAGCATAAAAAAAGAATATGAAGATAGGCATGCTTTAAGCAGTGGTTCTCCACCTGGGGAACCACCCCTCCCACCAAAGATCACAAGATAAATCTGAGGATTTCTGAGATGATGATGGGGTAGGAAACAGTAGAAAACAAACTTCCGTGACACAAATGGTCCATTCATTTTTCTGATTTTTCTCTGATCTTTTTTTTATTTTTAGTAAAATATTGAATAATTGACCAGTCCTAAGTACCAACCCCTTAATTACTGTTGCTAGGTCAGACAACCTTATCTAAAAGAAAACATGACAATGCTGGTTCAAGCAATGTAGCTTCAGAAAGCTGTGTAGAGAACTAGTATGACAAGACTGTTAGTTCCCATCGCTCCTGCACTGCTGGGAATGTGTCCCCTTTACCCCTCCTGAGGATCAGTAAAAATACTATATATGCACTTACTGACTACAGACCATGGTGCTGACCTATGCTGTGTCTCAAGTCGCGTACTTCTGTACTTACACTTAATATTTTGAGTGCATAAGTGCGTTCACACTGAGAAGTATGGAAATATGCAGTGCACTATGAGAACCCAGATTGTGCACTCAAAACGGTCAAGAAGTTGAGTGTGGAACTATGGACACTTATCAACCTCAATGGTTGCCACTGGGCCACTTTTAAAACTGGAAATGGCGGCCAAGGACTGTGTGACCGTGAATGTCACTGCATTGTACAACTTCATGTTTTTTGCACAAAGCACCACTATACTGTTGTCAGGAATAAGCCAGCAGTATGTTTATTGGGTTAATTTAGTCTGTAATGATTTGGTACTGCGAACAATAAGGTGAATGCTAATGCTAGTTTGCTAACTAGCTAATTTGCGGTCGTCATTTCCAGTGAGTGCACAATGGCCGTGTTTGGCTTGAGACAACACTACCCTGTCAAAATTCGCACACTACGCCAGTAAGTACATAGTGCACAAAGTATACTACATGGAAGTGTACTAAGGGAAGTATGTGATTTGAGACACAGCACTAGTCTGTCTTTTTACTGTAGAAAGTTACTTTGGGGCGGCACATTGCCTTACAGAGATAATATGAACATAACTTATATGAACTATAATTTAAGTCATCCTAAAATATGTCAACAAATTAACATTACTACCAAAATAGGGAGGAAACAAACCTGATTGACGCTGGTGATCTGACATTAGACTAACTCCTATTGAGGCTATACGTTAACTAGCTAGTTTGCTAGCATTTCACTAACATTAGCTAGCTTAAAATGTGACTATGTCATGTGTCCATGAAGATTGTGAATATTCCCCAGCCACATCTTTTAGCCACCTTCAAAGTTTGGTTTTCCCATAGCATATCTAAGTCCCCAGGACAGGGGAAAGTTAAAAGGTTCTGCCATACCAAAATTGCTCAACCGTTATTGGAGCACAGAGTGAAAGGGGCGGGACATAGGAAGGGCTAATTTGACCTCCATAGACCTTGAACTGCTGCAGTCTTATGCTCCAAGATTTAACAAGTGTAGACTGAAATACACTATTAGGTTGAGCTGCTGACAACTCATAAACAACTGATGCGGGATTTATACTTGTGCCTCAGCTCTACGCAGAGTCAACGCCAAAGTCTACGCACGTGGCCTACGCTGTTGTGAGCATTTATACTTGTGCGGTGGTGTCTGTGTCACTCTGCAGTTACACCTCCAAACCACTAGTTGGCAGTGGAGGTTTCTGTGAAGTGCTGTAAAGTTTAGTTGATTCAAAACATACATTAAACATGGCTTAATAGAGACAATTTCAAACACAAGTACAAATCGGCTTCATTATAACTCGCAGCATTCACAGACAAAGCACTTGTCTTTATCTGAACACATTTTCCCCACAAATACAACATGCTAATGTTATTAGCACAAGCATTTGGCATTTTACATTGTATAATTAGCCTTGCAGCTAGCGAACTTCTCTCTACTCATGTGAAGCCAGGAACAGCAGCAACATTTAACAAAGGTAATATTACAAAATTCAGCTAAATTACAACTCACAAGATTCACCAATAAAACAACTTCCTTATACTAAACACGTCCTTCAAACAAATATAACATGCTAACATTATTAGCACAAGCCTATGGCATTTTACATTGTAGAAATTAGGCTAGCGACGAGTGAAGATTTCCTCTACCCATATGAAACCGGGATAAATCCCACACAAGACTTAAAATGCTATTTTGTGGAGGCTTTATTGTCCTCACAATTTATTGTTTCTTATCTGTGAAACTGAAGTAAAAAAAACTTTGTTTCCACTGAGGGAAATGGTTTCAGCTTACAAAAATATACAGGAGGTCTGCGTCACTGCGACGTGTAGTTACATTTCTGCAGAGGTGCACATCAGGCTACGGTGTAGTCTACAGCGTAGGCTCTATGTCAATGCAGAGCCTACACCGTAGGTACAGCATAGATTCCACGCAGAAGTATAAATCCGACTTAAAACTACACAGGACCACAACTACACTTAGTCTCTTACACAGACGCCGATGACGTCAGCACGCTGGCTGACTCTGTCGTCTGTGGACCTTCCCATAGGGAAGTTGTAATAGAACTAGTGCTGGCTCCCAGCGACAGTGATGTGATTGGATCCAAATCCGTGTACTTCCGTACTTCCTCGACCAACGGCTGATTAGCTTTGCCTTACACCCGCCTACACCGGAATTGCTGTTCCACGAATTGTTGCCCGTAGTACAGCAGAAAAGGAAGTGTTCAGTGCATCGCAAGAAGAGATTAAAATGGATATGATTTCATTTGATTCAGCTACAGTGCAGAGCTGCAACATCTCTGTTACATGTAACACACGTGCCGCACCTATGGCAACGCCGTCACGTGGTCTGGATATCCCCGCCCATGTCTATTACAAAACGAAAGACGAATGTCCCCAGACTCCCATTCCGAAGTAAGGGAGGCTGGTCACGCGAGACTAAACTACACACTGCTTTTTTGATAGGAGGTACCAAGTCAAACAGGCTGGAGACCACTACCTTAAAGGATTAGTTCATGTAGTTCATCACAGAGACCTCTGCTGCCCCTGCAATACAGTGCTGGTGATTATTAATTTGATTGGGCTGCTGATAGCACGAAAGCATTATGACTCCATATGAAAATTCAACAGCATTGTCTTAAGAACTATATCATTCTTACTATTGGCTGGCTGAACAACCCCCCCCCCCCCCCCCCCCCCCCCCCGAAAAAAAACTTGCAGTAGAGGTCTCATTGATGGAGATCTCAAAAGTTGATTAAATAAAAACAAATCTACCTGCATCATTGGATATGACCACTAAGAGTAAGTGGGAAAACTGCACTAGCATTGACATGACTAAGGAATACAGAACTAAATTCTGGTTCAGCTCATACTTAACTTTACACAGAGAATCTGGAGTAGCAGTAGAAGAAGTAGAGGAAGTAAAAAAAAAAAAAATGAATAAAGAGAAGTCAAAGCAAGAGGAAGTTGGGGAGAACGAGCAGCAGAAATAAGACAGATATTCCTTCTCACCGATCTTCAGCAAGTCAAGAAATTCATGTTCTTTCTGGAGGATTTGCTTTAAAGTTTTGATTTGGATTTCTCCACTGAGGAACTTCTCTGACACAGATTTGAATGCTGAAGTTGCCAAAGTCATCCTGATTTGTGCGTCATCGGACAATTTGTCAGTCAGTCCTCCTCTTAAACCTGGAAAACAAGCATGCAACCATAAACAACAAAAGAGTTTCCTGTGCGTTATGTACACAATAAAACCTATAAAAACAGTTGATCACTAAAAACTGTGAGACAATAATTAAATAGACTGACTTGAGATGAGCCCAAAACTGCCCAATGCCAGCCAGCCTTCACTCTCTTTCTTTAAGCATTACTATTATCTTTTAAGTAAGAGAGTGCCCGTATGCTATTCATCAATGAAGAACAGATTCCAAATTCATTCTTGTAACATTGTTTATTATATTTAAGTATTTACCTGTCATTTGGAAAACAGTTTTGGCCATTGGCCAGTTTAGAAGGTACTCAAATATTGATTCCTCGCCTTCGATGTATTTTCCATTTGCATCTGTGGGCCATGTCTTCATCACAACAACAGACATCAGCTTTCCAAACTTTGTGATATCATGTTTCTCAAATAGAGCTGAAACAGCTCTGCCAGATTTATCCTAAACAGAAAAAAAGGTTACAGTGAATATAAAATCATTTAGTACCAAACACTGGTAGAGTCCAGCCTATGAAAATTGTTGCTCTTTTTTATATTTTGTTAAGAAGATTCAGAAAAAAATGTGCACATCTAATATTTGTCATGTAGGTGTGTTGGAGGGGAGCTCAAAATCTTAAAGAAAAGAGAGATGTACTGATTTCATCAATGCATTAATTGCATGAGAATCTTTTTGGTCAAAACTGTATTTTTTGTCTTTCTTTACAAGGTTAAGTGTCTTTGGAAGTCATTTATTACAGGTATTCATAATTGCAGCCTTGTAATATTAATATGAGTTGTTAAATAATTGTTATAAACCCTTAAATAGTTTACAACATTAATGCTCAAAGTGTGGCCCGTGGGCCAGTGGCAGCCATCAGAAAAATTATGTGTGGCCCCCAACTATTGCATGAAATGCATGCATCATACTTTCAGTTGTGGTCCATTTCAATAATTTAGCTTACATTTAATACACAAGGAGACTGCATCGAACTGCACCTCCCTAACAAGCGTCTGTCAGGTTATGGATTGACAACTTGTTGAAAGCTATTGGTTGCATAGCAACAAATGGTGCCGCACAAGTGTCCTGAAAATTACATTTTATCATCAGCGCTAATGGCTAAAGTCAGCGATTTTGGTGAACAAATCACAGCTGCACTTTTCCTGTACAGCTCTCAATCATATGCTGGCTTCCTAAACTGGCACTTAGTCATCAAAAGTTTGGGCACCACTTATCTACACAATCTCTCACTGCTTATAGAAGGAGTTACAATTATATAATAATAAACACAAAAAAGAGATATCCTTAAGCACTTACATTTACATTATATGATATTACAAAGCATTCATTAACTGCTTATTCACCACCTCAAATCCCAAAGCAGAAATCATACCTGACAAACAGCTGCAACTGCCTCCAATGCACATTTCTCCATTGTGTTGCATAACAGTGGACTTGTCTTGCTCAGTTCTTCCATCTTGTTTGAGTATATTCCAATTTGATTCACTGGTTGTTCCTAGCACAGAAGCACACATGTTCAGTTTTGTTTCTCAAGTGCACATGTAAAGATCTGTACAGCATATAAACACAAACACAACTTCAGTCTTACTTGTTTTAGTTTTCCTTCAAACTCTTCCATGAAGGTTCTTCTCCAGAATGAAGTGTGTTCCTTGTGACTGAAGGATATTGAGAGTAACTTCTCCCATACCTTGAAAGAGAGACATTGATTTTAATATGTCAGCTCTGTCACAAGTACTTTATACAACATCAAATGGCTATCACACTGGAAAAAGACTATTTCAAGGTAAAACCATAACAGAGAACAACGTATACATTATAATATTTTTGGGCTCACCTTGATTTCATCAAGTACAGCAAAGGAACACCTCCAATCATTGAGCAGTTTGTTTTTGAAGGTTTTTCTCCGCCATTCCCTCACTGTCTCCAGTGTCTCCCCTATTGACTCTTCATGAATTCTCTCTCTTGCCTGGAACAGCAGTTCAAAGTTACAGTGGATGTCTCTATCTTTTGAATTTATTTTACATGATCCAAAAACTCTGCTTGCATTTATGCATTAAATTTAGCTAGTCATTACTTTAAGCTTTGCTGTGTACCTTGCTTTAAATGATGAACAACAAATTAACAAACAAACGTGAGACTTCTTTTAAACACATGAAAGTGTAGCTACATATCCCAAAACTGGTGGTCACAGTATAAAACCAAGTCAGTTTAACTTCAGGGATATCAGTCTATCCATTTAGGAAGCACAAGTGATTGTGAATCAGGTTCATCTGCTTTGGTGCAAATGAAAGTGACAACAGGTGCAATGGAGAGGCAAAACCAAGTTGTGTGTGTTGTGTTTTTACATGTGGTGGCCACAGACAGTTGCTCTCTCCTTATCCTTCCTGACTGATTCTGCTCTACTTTTGTGTTCTGCTAGTGTCCTTGTCACCGCTGGTAGCATGAGGCGGTACCTGCAGCCTATTCGGGTTGCACTGGTGATACAGCACAGTCTCAAGAGCATGGAGGAGATACCAGGAGACTAGCCATTACACAAGGAGAGCTGGACTGGGCCATAGAAGGGCATCAACCCAGCAGCAGGACAGGTATCTGCTCCTCTGTGCAAGGAGGAACAGGAGGAGCACTGCTGGGTCAGTGATGGTGTGGGAAGGCATAACCTTGGAGGGTCACACAGACGTCGATGTCATAGCTGACAGTACCCTGACTGCTTTTAGGTATGGAGATGAAATCCTCACAGCGATTGTCAGACCTTATGCTGGTGCAGTGGGCCCTGGGTTCCTCCTGGTGCAGTGGGCCCTGGGTTCCTCCTGGTGCCGTGGGCCCTGGGTTCTTCCTGGTGCAGTGGGCCCTGGGTTCCTCCTGGTGCAGCGGGCCCTGGCTTCCACCTGGTGCAGTGGGCCCTGGCTTCCTCCTGGTGCAGGGGGCCCTGGGTTCCTCCTGGTGCAGGACAATGCCTTGCCTCATGTGGCCAGAGTGTGTAGGCAGTTCCTGGATGATGAAGGCATTGATGCCACTGACTGGCCCTCTCATTCTCCTGACCTAAATACAATTGAGCACCTGTGTTTTGGTGCATCTGACGCCACCAGGACCATCACAGACTGTCCAGGAGCTCAGTGAAGTCCTAATCCAGGTCTGTGAGGAGATGCCCAAGGACACCATCTGCCGATTCATCAGGAGCATGCCCAGACCTTGTTTGGAATGCATACAGGCACGTGGGGGCCATACACACTACTGAGTCACATTATGAGTTGCAGTGATAAAACGTATGCAAGTTGGATCAGCCTGTGATTTCAATATTTACTTTGATTTTCGTTGTGATTTTAAATTCAGCCCCCTTTGTTGATTTTGGTTTCCACTGACTGTTGTCATGTGATTTTGTTCAAATTACACAATGTACATCAATAAAACCTTTCAACTTGAATGCTTCATTTATCAAGATCTGTTTTTGAGCAGTGTAATTAGTAATCCATATTGAGTTGAATCTTTTTTCTCTGTGCAAAATAAAGAAGCTGTTGCTGTTAACTGCTTCACGCATTTTCAGCCTTGACTTTGGCTAAGTATGGACACAATAAAGTGTGGCCTGTCAAACAGACTGACAGATGAGTCTCACCTGGGAATTGGTGTGGTCGTATGCCTTGGTAATGAGACAGACCAGATCAAGGAAGTAAATAGGAACATCACAGCGACCTGGATCTGTTGTGTGACGGCAGATAGAACCAAGAAGCCTTGCTGCAGTTTTCAGGCAACACTCTCCATGTTTATCATCAAAACTATGGAGAAAAATATTTGATTATTATTGTGTATGCATAAAGGTTGCTGAAATTCCTAGGCATTACTGCAGAGATAGTGTATTACTGTACTAATGATTTTTACCCTTTATTGCGATGGCTTTCTCTGTCGATAAGACATAGTGCCAGGTCTTCCAAAGCCTTTAACACATAATATGAAGATATAGCAAGTGAAAGCTTTTATATAAACATGCAATAACTGGGTCAGCGGAACAAGTTGTAAAACTGACATCATCATCATCTCTCAAGTTGATACTGCAAGTTAGTAATTAGTGTTAGTAAACATTTGTCTATCCAGTATTTAGCTCTCTTAGCTCTGTTTTTGGTCTCTTACAATTCTTGAAGGAAATGTGTTACAGTTCTCTATAATGTTACCCAGCCAGTATCTAACTGTGTCTGCCTGTTGTCTGGTGCTGAGGAGGTTATCCACAGTGGGTTTTGAGTGTTATTTTCTACTGAGTGTAAGCAGTGAGAGTGAACCAAGTCAGTAAAATTGCAAGTAAGACACTTAAACAACAGGTTTAAACTTGATATAAAGCTTCATAAAGCCGAGGGTGATAATTCTCTGAAGGTTAATAACCATGAGTGACCCCTTTCATATTGTTGCATTGTTTTTACACTCATTTGATGCCATCGATTTATTGTTATTATAAAAATATGATCTTATAGCCAATTTAAGGATACATACCATGTAGTTGGAGTGATTGATCCCAGTTTTTATACTGAACTGTATGTAATGAAGAATGTCTAGGAGCTCCACGCGCACGCTGGACATGAAACTTTTTAGCTCATCCACATTCAGCAAAGACATCCAGGAGTGCACAAGAAGACGATCAATGTCTGCCAGGTACGCATGCTCTTTCATGGTCCAGATCACATTCCTTGGGGGTGCCAGGTGGTGAGGTTAAGAAAAAGAAAATCAGAATATCCCACAAATAATACATATCACAATCTGGGCTGCTCTAATAGCAAATCAAGGAGCCCCAACAGGTCAACAGAAGAACATTTACTCACTTATATTAGGTTTCTTTAGGGAATATGTGGGATAAGCAATGACATACATTTCAATCTTAATGATACAAAGCTGGCTATTGCGTGAAGAAGTTTGGGTTTAGGAACTATATGAGGACAAAACATTTGGGTTTGGAATTTCAGAGTATTTAAGTGATGTGCAAGATTGTTTTTTATGATTTGATCCAGATATTTCAAAAGGTTCTTTAGGCCTTCATGTGTTAAAGTTTTTGTAGGAGAAAAACACATACCTAAGATAAGGATCCCTGTTTGAATGTGCTCTGTTGCTCCCACTCAAACCCGTCCAGGATTCAAACTCTGGATTCAGTTCGGGTGGAACTGGCCCAAATGGTTTGCTTTCTCCTCTCAGTAGGTGAATCAGAGGGATGACCAAGACCCACTTCTCAATTTGGCGTTGTCTAGCATTGTTGCACAACATCTCAACAGCATCTGCAACACTTGAAGTCAATAAGAAGTCAATGTTTAGTTTCATTATATTTACACAGGGAAAAAAAGAATTCAACATCTGAAAGTTCAGCATCTATATTAAAGTGCCAAAACAACAGAAAAACACTGGCATCTCCTCCTCTTCCAACTCTTTGATTTAATAGCACTAATTTTCCCTGTCTTGTTTTTGACTACTCTATACAAATAAATAAACAAACCTAAAGTTTACGCCAAGTTGAATTTTGGATCATGTATGAGAACAGCTAACAGGGTCCCTCTGACTGATACAATTTCCTGGCCAAATAACAAAACTGACTGAACTTTTAACGTTAGAGTGAATTGCCTATGTAGTGTTCAGGGTGACAGTCACTAATGTCTTCTCTGAAAACTAAAATCTAAGGGTCTCTTGGTAATATTTTTTTCCAGTGTTTTTTTCTAAATTATGATGTGTATTGTCATCATGATAATAGTAGAAATAATAATAATAGAAACATTTGTCAATGTTATGCAAACTTAACTCACACATCAATTACCTCTTTTTATCAGTCAAAGGGCCTGCAAAGTCTTTCCAGAAAGGGAAGAAATCATGTGGTGGCATCTTCGGCAGGCAAAGAAGATCACACAAGTTGGATAGCTGATCCATCATGTCATCTTTCAGATACTTGTTGTAGATCAGCAAACGAACTACTCCTGCATGCAGAGGTAAGAGGGATTTTGTTGTTCCTTTTTGCCCTCTGGGTTTGAGATTGATGTTCTCTTTCAGAACGTGTCTGATCAGGTTTTTCACCTAGAAAAAGTAAAGGAAGAAAGTAACAATCAATGTCTCCACTGTACTGTACTGTACTGTACTGTACTGTACTGTACTGTACTGTACTGTACTGAAAGCTCTTTTTAAATTAATTTAATTTGCCTCAGATTCTCAGGGACCATGAGCTGTTCTAGAATAAAACACTTGAGATTTACCTGTTCTTTACCGTATGGTATTCCCCACGGTTTTATCATACCATCATGAAGCACAGGATAGGTGTATGTATGAACGAACTGCTGGAGCAGTAAAAAGAAGTTGTCCACATTTGGTTCAGTCCAAGTTGTAAGAAGGTCAAAGATAATATCCAGCATCATCCTGCCAGCTTCATCTCTCCCTTTCATCACAATGTCTTTGGTCGAACTCCAAGGCCAGAAACCCTTCTTCAGCTCAGGATAGATCACATCATCATACTGGTGCCACTCTCCTTGAAAGTCCAACAGATCAAAATTAATAGGGAAATGTTATGTGCTACAGAACAGAGACTTCAACCAAATCAAACTGTATAACCACAAATGGTTAATTCCTTGAAATAAGTGTCTCTGACTGACATCAGTTACATACATACATACATATTAGCTGACACAAACTACAACACTGCACAGCTGGTTGGACACAGATAAACAGACAAATATATTATGTGCCCAAACAACCAATCAGACTGAATTTCTGTACCGCTTTCTAGCATTGCACACATGTGTCTTACTGTCTGGAGATCAGTAACTGTCCTAGATCTTAGCATCCATCCCCCTTGATGACCCAAAATAAACTTGACAGTGTTTTCTGGTAGACAATCTATGTATTGTAAGACTGTGTCTCTAAGAGACCTCAAAGGTATCCTTTGAGACATTTCTGTGCTGCAATTTCTTGTAAATTATCAGTCAAAACTTACCTTCATGTGTTAAAAACTGCTGATTGATTGTCAGGCACCTGTTGATTAATTGATTTCCATCTTTCTGGTAGATTGTCTCATACATGAGGTGATTTTCATTGCGCTTGTAAATTACATATTTGTAGGGTATGTTTTCATGAATGATATTCTTGGGAATTATGATTCGTCCTTCGACGAGATAGCTCTTGTCTCCTAGAGGCCTGTGAAACACAGCAGTGATTATGAGTGATAGGACAGGCAAAGACGTGACAAACTCATAATTTCAGAGAAGACAATCCACTGGATTATAGTCGCTATACTGCTAGGTGGTGAAGAAAACTAAAAGAAAAACATGCACACCATCACAGTCTGATTTTATTGTTTCCTAGGTGGAGCAATGAACAAAACAGTTGTTCTGGTATGATTATAAAGAATATGTTTTTAAAAGTAGACATACCTAGAGAAGGACATTTGCATGCCATGTTTATCCCATCCTCCAAACAATTTTTCAGACCTTAAGAAAATCATATCCTTCTCTGGATCCAAATGAAAATCTTTGGAAGTGACAGCATGGAAGCACACAGGCATATAGTCACTGCTCAGTAAACTGACAAAGAAAAAGAAAGTAGATAGAAATTAACATACATCATATTTTCTTTAAAAAATCAAAACCACATTATCAAAATATTTTGTAGTGGATAACATACTGGATTAGAAATACCATAAAAACCTGACTAAATTATAGCGATTAAATTAGATTCAGTTTTTGTAACTCTAAAACGTATTATAAACGTACATTTGTGTAGCCTGAAGTTCGGTGGATGTTTCTGAGATATCTGCTGCCACTAAAGGACCGGCCTTCTCATCAGTCCAACCGGGAGGGCTGGAGGGCACTGGTGGCCTGCAGACATCTACATCTCTCCTGCCTGGCTGTTGCTCCTGTCTCTCGGCCAAGCGTGTGCTTGTTTTCTCATCTGATTTGGTGTCAACAGCCTGTGAGGAATAAACAAGATTTGAAGATTACACAAATGTAAAACAACAAGTTCCTGAAGTCCTGCAAGACAGAAAGAATCAGCTGTGTAGATCATGCCTGTCAACTCTCACAATTTACTTGTGAAACTCAAACTGTATTGTCTTTGCTATTTATAAAAATTTTGACGATATAAACTACCTCAGTGTTTTGGTAGGTTTCCTTTGTTGCTGGACGGGGATCAGCAGAATACTCAGACTTTTTGGTGTTTGGGTCGACTGTGTAACATCTCTTATCTCTGGCTTCTTGGTCTTCTTTGGTGTCGGTTTGCTTAGCAAATGTAAGCTGTTCAGTGTTAGGCTGATTTTCATTATCAGAGAGATTTTGTGTCTCCTGAGATATTGTCTCATCCTTATTTGGTACAGAGGCAGACCGATTTACTATCAAATCACATTCTTGAGGGATTTTCTCAGATCTTTCAGGTGCAGTGGAACCTGTTTCTTTAGCTGATGTTAGAGATGACAGTGGCCCAGATTGAGTGTTACTCGGCTTGTCAGCAGGAATTTGAACTGCATCAGGTCTGTCCTCTGTACTGTTATCTGATGAGACCTCTGTTTGTTGCTCTGTTAGTTTATCACTGACAGGTGTCAGGCAGGGCGGGCCGGCGGAAACAGCCAGGTTGGATCCAGGCGCCGCCTCACTGCATGGCTGAGAGTCTCTTTCAGGAGCTGTGGCAGAAAGCCTCTCTTCCTCTGTACGAGTCTCAGGGACTTGTGTCCTCTTGGTAGTGACAGATTCACCATCTGAGACTGTCTGGCTGGGGGATGAGGGTGTGGCTCCTTTTTCCAGAGTGGCTGGGCTGGCAGTGTTATCTGATGACTCCTGTGTTGTAGCGCCACCTCTGGCTGCCTCTAAGTCATCACTGACTGGCTGCACCTAAAAGACTCGAAAAAGTTAGCATGGTAGGTTGGCAGACATCAGTTTCAGACTTACAGACCTATCTCTAAGAGGCAGAAATTACCTCATTATTTGAATGGTTGATGTGTGAAGCCAGTGAGCCACAGTTTTTTCAGAAAATATATTAAGATAAAAAAGAAAGGCAGTGTCATGTTGTTTTAGTCATTTATAGCCATGTGAAACTGAAATGTTAGTAGTAGCTGTTAGATCGGTCTGAACTTGCAGGTCGAACTTGGTCTACTTGGCAAACTAGGTCACTATAATAACTTAATGTGACTGACTTAATTTCAGTAAAGGTCCAGTGTTTGAAATTTAGGGGGATAAACTTGGAGAAACTGAATATAATAAGTATATTTTCTTTAGTGTATATTCACCTGAATATAAGAATCAGTACTGCAGCTACCCTTCAAAAGTACGTACTGCTGCATGCAGTATGCACACAATCTGGACATATGACTTCCTCATGACGTTATGCCTTGAACTTTGACCCTCTAACTCATATATCTGTTACCATGGAGATAAAACAAAATGTTGTTCACTAAGCTCGCCAGAGACGGAGTTCAACCCAGACAGCATTGATATTGTTATTTTGCAACATGTAATAACAGCATACATTGTAGATTCTAACATATCATATACACAATAGTAAAATTACAAAGGTTACACATTTCTCTGTCATTGTTATTTAATACTTAGGCCCTTATATTGTTGGCTGTATTTATAATTATTTTATTCAAGTAAACATTTAATATTCCTATTGCTGCATTCCAGGCAAGTTTCTGAGCCCGTAAGTCACCACTTCAAGTCACGACTCATGACTTCATAACGTTCCAGGCAAGTCACACCAAACTGTCAAACCAACATGGCGGACCGTGCGGGGTTTATGTTTGTTTACGATCACTTCTATCGCCAAAGGTGCCGGTTCCTTGCTCATTTGAGCGAAATGGAGAAGGAGAAATGGTGCATAAGGTCACAGATGCTATTATACTTTTTATTTGATGTTATCTGTGTGTTTGGAAATGTATCGATTTATTCTTGCACTGGAAACTAGCTGTTAGAGCGGCTGCCAATAATGCATTAACATTAGCAGATTTAACGTTAACGTTAGAGCAATACCTTGCTATAATACACCATGGGGGCTGCCACTGTTGTTTAGAGGGCTGTGTGACTTCAGAGAGCGTAACTGGGAGTACATCGATCTGGTAAGAGTTCACGGGTGGTAAGTTATGGGTTTGACTGCCATTCCAGTGCACTCTCATGGGGAGAAGGTTGTAAAAACACGGGTTACAGGTTGCCTGGAACGCGCCATATCATTGCGACTTCTAACAGTCAATGTGATGTATCTTTCGCTGCACAGAGGATTGTGTGTCAGAATACCCAGAGAAGTATGCTAGCTTGCATCATGCAAAATTGGACCGGATGTAGTAGAACATCGTGGTATTTTGCAGCAGGTTAAAAACATGAGCGGAAATAATTTATGTAATTCTTATTTTTTTGTGGTATGTGTTCCATTATATTATTTAGTAATTTTACCAAAATCCCTCACTTCTTCTGTTGTTTCAAAGTTAGTCTTCTTGGGAGTGGGAGTACTGTATTTGTTAGTGTGACTGCGCCGTCTGCTGACTATGAGTAGATGTACCACGCTACTTCCGGCCTCTCTTCTTTTACTTCCGGCCTCTCGTCTTCTCCTGGTTTTGATTTAAGTGCACAGAGCAGCTTATCAACACATGATATAACCAGGGTAGATGATTTGAGTAGGTTTTCTGTTGGGCATTTTACCTGTGAAGTGAGTTTTGAGAGATTGAGTGAACTAGCTAACCACATTGTTCCTGTGTGTGCTAGCCATTTTATCTTCACATGGCATACACGTTTAAGCTTATCTTTTTCTCGTGTTAGGCCTCTTGTTGTGAAGATAGAATACACATGACAGCGTTTTGCTCTCTGTGGACTCAAAACAGGTAGCCCTATGTGTGTTTGTGTTGTACTCTCATTACCATGTTCCGCAAATATATTATTTATTCCAGAGTTTCTATATTAAGTGACTGTGATGCAGAGTAGTTTTCATGACAGCTGGTTTGCTTGATGTCAAACATGTCAAGGTCATTTATTAACTAATGGTGTAAATCAGAACATCTGTTATTCAGGCTCCATTTTATTTTTTTTGTATTTAATGTACATGTTTTGTGTTAGTTTCAAGTTGTTAGTCAGTCTGCAATGAACTTGGCTGCTAGAGGCGTGTTGTTGTGAAGACTGAATATGCATGACAGCATTTTGCTCTCTGTGGACTCATAACAGGAATAAACCTGAGTTTGACAAGATATGTCAATGTTCAGCATTTGATTGTGCACCAGAACACAATGCAGTGTGGCCAGCATCTGCAGACCGTTCCAGCTGCACATTTGACATACTATGTATTAGGACATACTACAACTTTTTTGGGCATACAATATAGTATAGTATCGTAATGCAGAGATTGTGTATTCTTTACCTTAGAATGAGCTGTTTGAGATTGCCTGGCTGCTGCAAGGCTTTAGCACTGGAGATTGGTGGTGTAACGTTACCTGTGAATGCTGTACCCCAGTGCCCACAGAAGAGGAATGCCTCTGTTGCAAGGAATGGGTACCGGTTGCAGCCTTAGCTAAATGGTAAACAACAAACATGGCACCACACCGGTAAGGTAAGACAACACGTTTACATGTCGTTTTCTATATGTTCTCTGATATTTATCCTAACGATATGAGGCGGTCTTTGTGGAGAAAAAGCTTGTTTAGTGGACTAACTTTGCACTTGAAAGGATGCCCGTTCAATTATGTTTTAACAGGTCTGATGCTACGGCTGTATCTAGGCTAACGGCTAACATGCTAACTATTATTTCTATGTCACTAGTGACTTGAAACAAATTTAGGACGATAGGAGACGGGTTGAAATAAACCGAAATTTCCCTTTAAATATAGGCCTCTACCAAACAGTTGATATGTCACTTCATGGTAATGGTAAAATAGAAAGAAAAATTCACAAATCATGTACTGTTATAATGCCTACAGTATGGACATATGTCAATTTCTAATCCCTGGAAGTAGTAGTATTAGCTGTACTATTATTACTGTATCTCCACATATTTCTTCTAGATATTTATCATTACTGTACTTTGAAAACCTCTCAGAAATGGAAAAAAAATCATATTGATAGAATTCTTTTCATCAAATATGTAATGGAGTAACATAAATGTATGGTATTAACAGCTGTGAATATTCATCCTTTTTTATTTGATAAAAAAATGTTAATTTATTATTTTAGCATCACTGCATTAACCATAAAATGCCAACTCAACCATTTGGTTCAGCATGGCTTTAGACAGTAAAAAAAATCATACTTATAAAATTATTTCACCATAATAAAAACATTAAATGTGTCATTTAACAACAATGAATGATCGGAAGATTTTTTAATTTCTTAGCAAATAGCTTTATTAGCTTTACCATTAACAGACAAATGAAAAGTTTGGTATAGCATGTTTTTAAAAAAATGTTTGACTCTTATTAGCTTTTATTCATTTATTTATTCATTGTATGAAGTTACATAAATCTGTTCAGTAAGACCTCTGAATCTATAACATGCTGAATAAATCTGCCTACCTTTGAAAATCCCACCACACACAGACCATATCTAGAGTGACTTTCTTTGTACCTTCCTGCAGGAGGCAGACTGCAAAGGCATACTATTAAAAGAGACTGCGACATCTAGTGGATTTTTTTTAGCATGACATACTTCAACTGAATCGTAGATATGGTTTAATCAGGTTGAAAAATTAAATTCAACACATTTTTTTTTATTAAGATACAGTGATTCAGGGTTTAACCACCTGACAGGCACATCTGTGATCCTCCTTGATTTTGGGGCCATGATGGGGCCTCCAACAAGCCAAAGTGTCACCTTAGGCTGAAGCCCTTTTGAGTCCCAAGTTGCCAACCCAG